ACCCCCCCCCTCTTGTGCCTGGCCTCTCCCTCCGCCTGACTTTCCGAGCCCAAACTCGTCGGCTACTGCAGGAGCTGGAAAGGAGGGGGGGAGAGAGAGGGTCCCAGCAATCATCCCCCATTTTTGCACAACTGATCAGCGGTTCCGAAATGGCAGCCCCTCGCTTTAGAGGCACCAAAAATGGCCGTCCCTATGGAGGATTTTCGCATAAGGTGAGTTTTTAAGCTCATAGGAACGTATTAAACGTGTTATAATACGTTCCTATGGGCTTTTTAAAATCACTTAACGATTAAATCACTTAACGACGTTTTTCCTGGAACGGATTAACGTCGTTAAGCGAGGCACCACTGTATTGTAATTTGAGCCACCTTAAATCTCCTTTTGTTAGGAAATTTGGGATACAAATTAGAGGAGTAAACAAATAAATTAACTTCTCCATTGCCCTCCTCTGCATTTGTCCTTTCTGTTTGTGTATAACACCCAAGATGGTTAACAATAATGATGAAAACATTAAAACATAAAAATAAAAAATAATACAATAGATAGAATCATATAAGAACAAATGGAATTATTAAAATAGTAATAGTGGCTAATTTAAAAACAGAGTGAGCAAAAAAAACAAAATTCCTCTAAAATATAATAGAAGTCTTTTCTTGGGAGCAGTGGGATAATGACAGATCGATGTCAAGCTAAGTGTGCCTTTCTATAAATGATCGTCTTTATAGGTATGATAGAATTACATTAAATTGAGAACTTAAAGTCATATTCATACTGCACTCATTTTGGTGTCATTTTAAGTGTAACTCTTTGTAATAAAATCAGTTTCAGTTTTTGAAGTAAAACCAAAATTTTTATTGATCAAAGTGGAATTGTTGCATATGTAGTTGAAGTACTTGGTACTATGTGCAAGAGGTCTAGTAACATGATTGAAAATTGTGGTCATTCTTTTCCTCCCTTCTCCCCCCTCCCCAGAAGCTCATGAAAATCTCTTGAGTCAAAAAAACCCAAACTATCTAAAACAACATGAGGTTCAATTATCTTGGAGGATTGAGTAGCAATGACAAATGTAGCAACTGTTGCAGTGAAATAAGGGTTTTTATCTTCTAATAGAGCAGGGACAAGGTCTTCAGAAAATGGTATTTCCAATATATCAAATAAAGGTTTGATAAAATGCTTTCTTGCAGTTGCATAAAAAGGGCAAGAATGTAGAATATGTGAAAAAGTATCCAGATTAGTGAGGTTGTCCTTTAATCTCCATCAAAGGGACAATATTTGATTTTGCATATAGCCTTGCATGTAGAAATTGTGGTCATTGAGAAAATAAGAATAATTTTTTAAAAAGGTAAACTCTCACTTGCATATGGAGATAGAAATCTTCAAGGAGTTTCATGAGGCAATGGTTAAATATGCAGCCTGCATAATAACAAAATTATAAACTACCCAGAGAATGCTTTAAGTACTGTGGGGTGGTGTATAAGCTGCACACTTTAACACTGTTTGCATTGTTATAATACTGTATCTTGAAACATCTTTTTCTCTATTTTTTCCCCAAGAGCATCATTCAGGATTTGAAGAAAAACTTTGAGATTGTGAAACTGGTGACAGGAAGCTTAATAGCCTGTCACAGATTGGCGGCATCAGTGGCAGGTCCTGGAGGCCTTTCTGGAGCAACATTAGTGGATGGCCGATATACCTATCGGGAGGTAAAGCAGACTGGTAACAAAATATAAACAGTTGGGAAAGCTGGAAACAGAATGAGTGTCATTCTACTAAGGGGAGGTTCCTAATCTAAAGATAGGAAATGGCAAAATATGCTCTAAATTCTGGAACACTTCTCCAGAAAAAAAATCAACTAAAGTCAGTTCTATTTGTTCTTTCTCCAAGTACTTAGAGGCACACCTGAAATTTCTGGCATTTTTCCTTCAAGAAGCCACCCTCTATTTAGGATGGAATCGTGCTCGGGAAATTTGGGAATGCCTTGTGACAGGCCAAGATGTTTGTGAGCTGGATCGAGAGGTGACATCTTGAAACTTGAATGATTATTTAATGTTCATATAGAAATCTTAGGATGTATTCCTGCTTTCTTGTAATAATGCAGCACTAATGTACAATAGGGCCCCTGTATCTGCGAGGGATTGGTTCCAAGCCCCCCCCCAGCAGATGAAAAACGTGGATTATAGCAAACATCTCCTCCCCAAACCAAATGCCCTTTCTGCCCTTGCCAACTGTCCAGAAAGAATAGGACGAAGCCCCGCTCATCTACCCTCTAATCCAGGGGTCCTCAACCTTGGGCCTCCAGATGTTCTTGGACTTCAACTCCCAGAAATCCTGGCCAAGAGAGGTGATGGTGAAGGCTTCTGGGAGTTGTAGTCCAAGAACATCTGGAGGCCCAAGGTTGAGGACCACAGCTCTAATCCACACAAACCTAACTGTTACCCGAAGGGAGGGCAGAGCGCAGATCTCACTGCCACCGCTTTGGGAGAGCCACCTACCTGCATGCTACACTGTTTGCCAGTGTGCTTTCAGGTCTCAATGCAAAGCAAGCCGGCTGCAGTCACACACACCCCATACCACTTCCTACCTAGATGGCCAAACAGTGATGTTTTTTTTTTTAAATACCTCTGGGTAAACCAGCAGTCAGAAGGAGCCTTCACCTCCAGGGAGAAAGCTTCCAAGAAGCAGCCAGACACCATGCTATGTATTCTTCATAGCATAGTCTCCCTGGCTGCCTCTAGTGGCTGGTTCTGGTAAAACTTGATTTTTTTCTCTGCATTGTTAAAAATACTTTTAATACAGTATTTAATTTAATATTTGCAGACCGTGGATAAGTGAATCAGCGGATAGTGATCCTGCGGATAAGGGGTTCTACTGTACTTTATACTGAAAATGATTTCTGGGTTGGCATAGTAATGGGGCTTCTACAGGTAGATTTACTTCGTTTCCAGAGGAGAAACATCAAAATGCACCCTACTTTGTTTTGGCTAATTAAGTTCATTGTTTATTAAGGTGATAACTGAGCTGAAACCTGAACACTAATAAAAGAAACTATGTGCAGCTTGTTTTGTATAAAAATACAGTTGCTATCACTACTACAAAAAGTTTAATGGCAATGCTAAAGTTCCTGACCTTACTGCAAGCAAATACAGTAAATGCTACTTCGGCTGATGTTTAGAATATTAAGCTTTCCTTTGATTATTATTAATAATTATATTGAGCTATTATTTACTGGGAAAATGTGTGTTTACTAGAATATGAAATTATATGTAATATTTAATGTAGAATGGTTGAAATCTTTTGCACAGTTCTGCTGCATAAGGCTGATCCCATCATCAGCCACAGTGAATTTTTAGAAATAAAATTTCAAGCTGCCCCCACCCCCGAAAGGTCCTCAGGCCCCTGTGGAATCCCTTTCATCCTAGGAAGCTGCTCAGGGCTGTAGGACAAGGAAGGCTATTAAATACTGAAAATCACCACTGCTGGGATAACTTTGCCGGCAGTGGTGATTTTCAGTATTTGAAGACTCCCACCGCTTGGTCTCCATTGGCTTTCCCAGGATGAAAGATATTTCACGAGAGCCCTAGAACCTTCAGGGGGGGGGCAGGGTAGGAATTAAGCTTTTTTATATATCCAAAACATCTCTGTGGAATGGGATTTTGGCCAATAAGAACCATACTGTACACTTTCTTTTTACAGATGTGCTTTGAATGGTTTACTAAAGGACAGCATGATCTCGAGAGTGATGTACAGCAGCAGCTTTTTAAAGAAAAAATTCTTAAATTGGAATCCTATGAAATTACAATGAATGGTATGTAATGCTTACTCAGAACTAATTCTTCATATTCATCAGATATTTTAGAATAAAAAAGGAGTGTGCTACTTCTGAAAATTGGATTCAGTCCTCAGAAGTGCACTGGAAAGGAGACTGGTGGAAGGCATCTCAATCCACCCACCCACGCCTTTTGCTGGCCCATAGAAACAGCTCTTCCCAAGGGCTCTTCCCAATTTTTGTATTTTTTGGTCAGTCGCCTTCATCCTCAGTCCTATTGCAGGCTCCATCAGCAGTCTTTCCCAACACTTGGCAGATGTGTCTCTTTGTCTATTACAGTAGGAGAAGAGGTCCCCTTTCCTTCAGCCCTTTCTCCTTGCATTTCCCTGGTACTAGCCTGTGGTGGACAGCTTTAAAGTATAATGTCAGGCTCATTCACCATGTTTCTGATTATTGTTTAAATGAAAATAGCAGAATTCCTTTAAAATGTTAATTTTTAAAAACAGGTTTTGGTTTGTTTAAGACCTTTTTTGAAAATGTGAACCTCTGCGATCATCGATTGAAGCGACAAGGAACGCAGTTGGTAAGCAGCTTTCTGTTACTTGTTCCAGTGCACATGTAGCTCACACCTGCCAGGTTTATGGGGGGGGAGGGGTGTAGTATAGGCTTTAGATAAAATGGTGAGTGGGAAGTGTTCACTAGATGCTGGATTTTCTTCAGTTAGTTGCATAGATTTGTTTTAGGTCTGCAAAGGCTTAGTGGTCATATCAAAGTACTTGATCTTATAACATCAATACAGTTAAATTAATATATATTCTGTTCCTGAATTTTGTATTTTACATATTTTAATGTGAGATAGTACTAGATAATAAGGTCATGGAGGAATGAATCAAAATGTTGGTTCCACTATGAACTGCCACTAGATGATATTTTTTTAATGCCTTGGGATGTTGGGAGGATATAATTAGGTAATCTCAGCATTTTCAGTTGTTTGGAAACAATAATAATAATAATAATAATAACTTGTCATTGAAAGACAGCTGCTAATTAAAGTGGGAGAGCTCAGTACTTGAGGTATCTGGCCGCAGAGCCTGGGGGTTCAGTTTCCCACTGTGTTTTCTTGACAAGGGCTGGACTCGATCCATAGAGTTCCTTCTAGCTCTGCAGTTCTAAGGTGATATTATATTTTGTTAATGTAATTTAAATCTGATATAATAGTCATGACTGTGCAATGTTTGCATTCCTGAGTAAAAATAAGTGCCCTTTACTGTCTTTGCTACACTATAGATTTAATAAATGGCCATCACAAGTAATTTCCTTTAGTGCAAATCTTTTTTCCCTTCCCAGCAAAATAGTTATTGTACAGTTTTACATCTGAATGGAATGATGCAGATAGGGCAGCGTGATAGTAGATTGCCTTGGTCTCAGGAGAAAACTTTGCTTCTGCCTGGTATATACTAGAAATCGTTAGTACTAACATGTAGCTAAAGAAAAGCAGTTCAAAAATCTTTCAAAATGTCTATTTAAAAAGCATGATTAAAGGCACATGTATTAGGGGAGTTACGTTAATCAACAGTAAGCAACATTCTGTTAGAAAAAATAAAACATGTTTTATGTTAAATTATTTTACGTTACCATAATTTACTTAACGCACTGTAGGGTAGTCGACCATCTTGAGGCTTTAACTGGAATCTGTGCATATTGTTCATGATTATGACTAGGTGCCTGTTTCTGCATGACAGAGTGCAGAAGATGGGGTTACTTACTTATAATCAACATTAGATTAGGGGTCCGTACATGGACTCACTTTTTAAGAGTGATACAGCAGTTGTATGAGCCAGGTGAACTATAGCATCAACCTTGTTAGGGAGAGTATGTTCACTTCATGGGCTAGGTAAAGGTAAAGGTAAAGGTTCCCCTTGACAATTTTTGTCCAGTCGTGTTCGACTCTAAGGGGCGGTGCTCATCCCCGTTTCCAAGCCATAGAGCCAGCGTTTGTCTGAAGACAATCTTCCGTGGTCACATGGCCAGTGCGACTTAAACACGGAACGCTGTTACCTTCCCACCGAGGTGGTCCCTATTTATCTACTTGCATTTGCATGCTTTCGAACCGCTAGGTTGGCGGGAGCTGGGACAAGCGACAGGAGCTCACTCCGTCATGTGGATTTGATCTTACGACTGTTTGGTCTTCTGACCCTGCAGTACAGGCTTCTGAGGTTTAGCCCGCAGCGCCACCACGTCCCTAGTTCATGGGCTAGACTAGCATATAAATCAGGTCAAGTCATTAGGCACTCTGTTAGTTTCTGAGGTTTGGGCAAACTCGTAGGAGAGAACTGTCATCCATATTTCAGCAGAGAAGTGGAAAGAAAATCGTTAAACTTTCCATGAATGGGATGGTAGATTTGAAGTAGCAGGTAGAGCAAGAATTGAAGTAACCCCAGAAAGAGTTTCTATTCAGAAGGCAAGCTTCCATGTGATTTTTTTTTGCTGGTAGAGGAACCCAGTAATTCAAGCAAATGTTTTATTTATCAGAGAGGAGGAAGTTACCTGCAAAACTGAACTGTTCTAGTAGCATTCTGTATTATATTATCTGATCTAGTTATTAAATATTCCTTCTGTTTTTATGTGTAGCATGTAGAAAAACTGGAGTTAATAGGAATGGATTTTATTTGGAAAATTGCAATGGAGTCACCTGATGAAGAAATAGCTAATGAAGCTATTCAACTAATAATAAACTACAGTTACATTAATCTAAATCCTAGATTGAAAAAGGTAATATTATGAATTATTTGATATAAACTGGTCATGGATATATTGGTCCCAGGAATTAAGGATTGACTAATTTATATGACCCTGTAAAACCATGGTTGTTGTTCTTCTTTGTCCTGGGAAGAGAAAGTTTAAACAATGGGAGCCTCAGGTTTCATGTACAAAGGAAGAGATTAGAAATTTTCACTCCTGTTCAGTGACAAGCCATAATTTGCAGTTTTACCCAACTGTAACAGACCATCATTTGCCTCTGATTAATACTGAAAGCTTCTAATTGTTTTAACATGATCCTAATAGTTGCAGGTATTGGTTTGCTGCATTTGGATAAAATTCATACTGTAGCCTTAAAGAAGGGTAGATGGGTAATATCCTGCCACATGGCATAGGTAGCTTATGTATATTGAGCAGTTATTTTACCTGGTTTACCTGGACTATAATAATAGTCCTGTACTTTTTCTATTTGTTGGGGTAGACAGTCTGTTTTCTGCCACATGTTTAGATTGCCAGTCCCATAATGCCAGATGACCAGCTATTCTGGGTGAGACTAGTGGGATTTGCAGGCTAAAGAATAATGTGTTTCCCTGAAAATAAGACAGGGTTTTATATTAATTCTTGCTCCAAAAATGCATTCGGACTTATTTTCAGGGGATGTTTTATTTTTTTCATGTACAACAATCTACATTTATTCACAAACAGTCATGTTATCGTCCGGTTGCTGCACAGTGGTGGAGGGCAGGGTTAACTGGGGCTTATTTTTGGGGTAGGGCTTATATTACGAACATCCTGTAAAATTATACTAGGGCTTATTTTCAGGTTAGGTCTTATTTTCAGGGAAACAGGATATATGTGATTACAGATTTTTCATATATTTCAATGTTCTTATTTTCAGGGAAACAGGGTATGTATCTCCTGGTCAATGATTTTTCATATATTTTAATGCTCTGTATTCTTTCCAGGATTCTGTGTCACTCCATAAGAAATTCATTGCAGATTGTTATACAAGACTAGAAGTAAGTGTTGAACTTTTTTTGTAAATTATTTTGTTTTCCTTTTCTGTGCTTTTTCTTATGTATAATTGTAAGGTGATTTCTAAATGTTCCACCTTATATTGTGCAAATATATCTTCTCTAATAGCTAGTCTGCAGAAGCTTTGTGAAGATAGATTCGAAATAATATGATGTCTCCCTGTTGTGGCTTGGCACTACTGTATTTATGGAACATTTATTGAGTTAATAACAGATGAGGTTTGGGTGTAGAATTGCAGGTTGTTGTACTATGTTTTAGTTAACCTCAGTGTTGAACAAGTTGCTCCTTATTATCTTAATGGACCACTCACTACATATAATACGAGGCATTTTTTGTTCCAGGCAGCCAGTTCAGCGCTTGGTGGTCCAACTCTGACACATGCAGTTACTAGAGCTACTAAAATGCTAACAGCAACTGCAATGCCTACTGTAGCAACATCAGTACAATCTCCCTACAGGTAATCTAATATTTCAAAATAGGTGAATACTATTCTTGTTCTCTTGTACACCATTCTCCAAACCACATTTTAGAGGACTTAGAATTGCCTAGGCACTGCACATGTCTTGCTCCTTTTTCAGATTCCTTTTAAATGTACCTGAGCAGATATTTGAATCAGGAAAATTATAAATATATTGCTGAGCACCAAACCATGATGTGCAGGTCTGCTACAGGCTGTTGTTTGGAAGCTAGTTCTAACCATAACTTGTCAGATGTGCATATCACAGCAGGTTTTTGTTAGAGGAAATCTAATAATAAGGATGAAACATGCAAATCTAAGTTGCTCATGATCCTTCAATATGTGAGATCTGAACCATGCGCAGTTGTGTCAGATGCGTGTTGAAAAAACTAGTGGCATTATGCTGAAAACTTTATGCTGAAAACTAAGTTCTTCTGCATCAAATTAATTTTTATGTTTTCAAACTTAACAGTTAATTGCAGAAAGGAGTGTCTAGAATATTGGTGCAAATCTGGTTTCATAAAGATAAGCTGAGTAAGCACAGTTTTCAAGTTCAGTTTGTCAATACCTGAAGTGGCCATTTTTGGAAAACCAAATAGCACTTTATTCCATAACTAGACTGGACATGGAATCCAGATACTGTTCTTGTCTTCACCAGGCATGGCAACCATGGTGTGTCTTATAACCTTTAAGTTCATATAGTACATATATGCTTGGTTTGACTAGGCATCCTTCAGTCTCGAGAGACTATGGTAACGTGCTCTGTATGGAGGACTTGGAACAGCATTTAGTGTGGCTGAGAAGGCCAATTCGAGAGTGACAATCCCTTCCACACTGAAGACAAATCTAATCTGTTCCCTGTCCAACTCCCTGATTTTGCTGCTTTGGTGACTGCCTTTTTGCCTCAGCCTGCTGGACAAGGGTCTCTTCAAATTGGGAGAGGCCGTGATGCAACACCTGCCTCCAGGCTGAACGCTCAGATGTCAGGGTTTCCCATCTGTTGAGGTCCATTCCTAAGACCTTCAGATCCCGCTTGCAGATGTCCTTGTATCGCAGCTATGGTCTCCCTCTGGGGTGATTTCCCTGCATTAATTGTCCATACGGGAGATCTTTTGGGATCCTACCCTCAGCCATTCTCACAACATGCCCAAGCCAACGTAGATGTCGCTGTTTCAGTAATGTATACATGCTAAAAATTCCAGCTCGTTCTAGGACTACTCTATTTGGAACTTTGTTACCAAAAATGCGTCGGAGGCAACGCATATGGAAGGTGTTCAGCTTCCTCTCCTGCCATGCGCAAACAGTCCAGGACTCACTGCAGTACAGGAGTATACTAAGGACACAAGCTCTATAGATTTGGATCTTGGTATATGCTGTCAGCTTCTTATTAAGTCATACTCTCTTTGTGAGTCTAGAGAATATGGTAGCTGCTTTGCCAGTGTGTTTATCCAGCTCGACATCTAGGCAGAGAATGTCAGAGATTGTTGAGCCCCAAGGTACACGTAGTCATGAACAACCTCCAATTCTTGCATGGAGATGGTAATAGAGGGAGGTGAGTCCACGCCCTGGCCCATGACTTGTGTTTTCTTCAGGCTGATTGTTAGTCCAAAGTCTTGGCAGGCCTTGCTAAAATGATTCATGAGTTGTTGGAGGTCTTCAGCAGAGTGGGCAACAACGGCTGCATCATCAGCAAAGAGGAAGTCCCGCATGCATTTCAGTTGGACTTTGGTCTTCGCTCTCAATCTAGAGAGATTAAAAAAGTTTCCATCTGATCTAGTCCAGAGATAGACACCTTAAGCATGCCTTCCAGATGGGCAGGGTATAAATCAAATAAATAAATAAAAATTAAAAAATGTTGAGCCATCAAAAACTACAGTGCCCTTCATTCCCTCATGAAAGGACCTGATGATGTTAAGGAGTCGAGGTGGACATCCAATCTTGGGCAGAATTTTAAAAAGGCCATCCCTGCTAACCAAATCAAAGGCCTTTGTGAGATCTATGAAGGCCACAAAGAGTGGCTGTTGTTGTTCCCTGCATTTCTCCTGCAACTGTCTGAGGGAGTATACCATGTCAGTGGCGGATCTATTAGCTCGAAATAGACCCTGTGATTCTGGATAGACTCTGTCTGCAAGCACTGGAGTCTCTTCAGTACAACACAGGCAAGCAGCTTCCCTACAACGCTGAGAAGAGAGATGCCACGGTAGTTATTGCAGTCACCCCTGTCTCCTTTGTTCTTATACAATGTGACAGTGTTTGCATCCTTCATGTCCTGTGGGACTCCACCTTCGCTCCAGCAAAGACGAAAGACTTCATACAGTTCGGTGGTGATGATCTCTTTACAGCTCTTTAACAGGGATGTTATCCTTTCCAGGTGCCTTGTCGGAGATGAGGGAATCCAAGACAGCTTTTATTTCTGCTAAAGTTGGTTTGCTGTCCAACTCTTCCAAGATAGGCAGGCACTCAATATTATTTAATGCTTCTTCAGTTACTACATTCTCTCTGGAATATAGCTCAGAGTAGTGCTGCACCGAGCGGTCCATCTGCTGTGCTCGGTCCTGGATGATCACACCTGTAGCAGACTTCAAAGGAGCAGATTTCTTCTGTATTGGACCTAAAGCCTGCTTGATACTGTCATACATTCCTTTGATACCGCTGTGTCCACTGCTATCTGTATCTGAGAGAGAGCTGAAGCCAATACTTGTTGGAACATCTCCTGTCAGCTTGTTGGACTTGGCTATGAGCAGCTCGAAAAGCTTGCAAGTTGTACTTGCTGGGACAGGCTTTGTATGCTGCTAGAGTTCTCCTCTTATCCTCAATGGCTGGCATCAACTCCTCCGAATGGGCTTCGAGCCAGTCAGCCATCTTTTTGGTCTTCTTGCCAGATGTTGACAAGGCAGTGTTATACACAGCGTTCTTGCTTGATTTGATCCTTACTAGACATTCTAGCCTTCCTAGTATTACGATCACGCGCAGTTACCAGAGTGCTAATTGCGATACTGATCACTCCCTGTTGTGTAGTAGAGTAACATTGCGAACAAAGAGATTGTATCACATGAAAAAGGAAGGAAGACCACATATTGACATCAGCAAGACTCACGATCAAAGAAAAGTGGAGGAATTTGCCCAAGCGCTTCAGGAAACCCTTTCAGGTCCAGCTGAAGCAAATGCACCTGAACGATAGGAACATTTCAAGAACACTGTGTATGCTTGGTTTGGATAGTTGATTAAAATCAACTATCCAAACATAAAATCCAGTACTAGCAATAGTAGACAAATGGTATTGTAAAACATAATAGCACATGGTGGAAGTGGCAGACAGATACATACATCTAGGTTGCAGCAGTCAGGGGACAGCACTATAGTAAAAAAATCTTGTATCTAAATGTTTTTTATGTTTTTATTGCCACCTGATTTATTTATTTATTTATTGCCACCTGATATTTAACATTGCAGTATACAGATATCATATAAATAAATTTGGGTCTGAAATGGCCCAAGTTAACAGCTAAGTGTAAACCCCGATAAGGAACTATCATAGATGTGTTGGTGGCCTTTGTGGATCACTTAGTATTTTTTCAGGAAGTGAACTAGTGAGATAACCAAATCTCTGACACTTTATTTTGTCTGCAATCTCCAGGTCAACAAAACTTGTAATAATTGAGAGACTTCTACTGTTGGCAGAACGCTACGTCATCACTATAGAGGTAAAAAGAAAGTCATGCTTGTAATCATGCTCCTTTAATTTGATCTTATGAGTAGGCAAACCAAGATTCACTTCACAAATTATGTCTTAAACTAACCTCCCACACTATGCCGGTGGATGTCTGTTGTGGGTTGCCGCTTGGAAGAGGGAGGCAGAAAGTTAGTTGTCACTCAGTTCCATAACCTTGCCCTTCATAGTTGCACTGTTTACAGTTCTCATTTGTCATCTAGGCAGGTTTGTCCTGGTAAGCGCTTGGACTGACAGTGTTCAAACCCAAGGCAGTCCACTGGCTATTTAATTTAAAAAGTAATGGACACAATTAATTAATTAATATAAATTATGATTGCTTGTAATCATTAAAAGACAAGTGAAATATTTAGCAGTTGGCTAGGCCAGTATAAGTTGTTTCTATAATTTGTTGATGACATGCTTCAAGGATTCTTTCACTTTCCTTTTGATAGGATCTTTACTCTGTTCCCCGTACTATTCTACCTCATGGTGCCTCTTTTCATGGACATCTGTTAACACTTAATATAACATACGAGTCTACCAAAGATACATTCACAGTAGAGGTATGCTTACCTAATTTTACTCTATAATTTTCAGTATACTCTAGGAATATTTGTATTTGAAGCAAAGTATATTCAGGGATTAGTAAATTCTGAATAAAAGCGAATTTGAAAAAGCAACCAAGTAATTTTATATACTCTTCCTTCTGAGTGCTATTATGGCCAGTGGTTTCTAAGAAATATCAGTTCCCAGAACTGAGAGCATGGATGAAGCAAATAAACTTTATTTTATTTCTATTTTCTTGCAGGCTCATAGCAATGAAACAATAGGAAGTGTTAGATGGAAGATAGCAAAGCTGTTGAATGCTCCTGTGGACAACATACAAATATTTGCAAATGATAGTTTGGTATGATGCCATTATTTTAACAATATTCCAAATCTCTGTAGTCTGATAGAGCTAAAACAAAATATGTATATTTCAGCTAACGGTGAATAAAGATCAAAAGCTGCTTCACCAGCTCGGCTTCTCTGATGAACAGGCACTTACTGTAAAAACATCAGGAAGTGGAACTCCATCAGCAAGCTCTGCAGATTCCTCTGCTAGCTCTAGCAACAGTGGTAGTGTCTTCAGTTCATCATATGCAATGGAACAGGTATAGCACAAATTTATTTATTTATTTATTTATTTATTTATTTATTTATTTATTTATTTATTTATTTATTTATTTATTTATTTATTTAATATCCCGCCTATCTAGTCAATTAAGACTACTTTAGGCGGTACTTTAAATGTTCATGTTGTTGTCAACAACAACAAAAAATAAGAATTCTTTGATGCTTTTCATTTTCTTCTGTTTCTGCTTACTCTGCAGTAATCATTAACAAATACCCAAAATATTCACAAAATCAGTTTTTCCAAATTAATGTGTTTTGAGTCGTGAAATATGTGGTTTGTGCCTAACGTTGCCCCTAATGTTGTCCATGTTCTTTGTTTATTTATATGCATAATATGCTGAAGCCATCATTAAGATGCATATTTTGCATACGCCTTTGCTTATGAATAAGCAGGTGCAGTTTTTTTAGAAAGGTAAATGCAAGAGTAGTCTCTCTGTTTTTAACAAGGACTAAAACATGTTTGTAGATATGTCTTAAGAGTCCTCATGAACCATAAAGTGAATCAACGAAATTTAGCACAGATGATGCTATGGACAATACCTGGAACGGAAGTAAACTAATCCGATTTCTTGCTGACCCTCATTCTACTTGCTGTTCTCATTACTTTCCTGTCTAAATTCAGAACTCAGTGGTCATTTGAGTAATGAACCCATTTGATTTAGTTCAGACTAAAAGCGGAAATGGGGAAAAAGTGGAAAGTATCTTCAACTGCTAAATATTTAAGACAATCATTTTTATTCCAGGATCATGCACATGTTTACTCTTCAGTTGTCCTTGATGATACAGTTCAGAACCCCAAGATATAATAATTTGTTATCTCTGTTACTTCTTTTAAGGTATATTAAAAATAGAGTGTTGACAATGCAAAACTCTGGTTTTGTTGGCAGAATTTCATTTTAACTCCACAGAGTTGTTTATGTGAATGAGGAGAGATTCAGGACTTTTATTATTAAAAGTGCTGTCTGTTATTGGTGAGTCACTGACATCCCTAGGCTAGGTTTTAGATTTATAATGCTTACTTTAAAAAAAAAGCACCTGAGAACCATAGCAAATTCCATCAAAGATGTGAAGGAACTACTTGTGTGTTCTTAATCCACAGGAAAAATCCCTCCCTGGAGTGGTAATGGCTCTCGTGTGTAATGTGTTTGACATGCTTTACCAGCTTGCTAACCTAGAGGAACCAAGGTAAGTAGCATTGTTGACACATGTAGAAATGCTGTGGCTGCAGAGTTCAAATATCTCTGTGCTTATAGAACTGGGCACAAACTCTACACCAGCAAAATTTGAACACGTTATATGTCTTTTATACGCTTCAGGATTACTTTGAGAGTACGGAGGCTTCTTCTGCTGATTCCTACAGACCCAGCTATTCAGGAAGCTCTTGATCAGCTAGATTCTCTGGGACGAAAGGTATATATTTTTCTGCTAAATGCAAATTTTTAAAAAATGGTAGTCTTTATCTTGCAACTGAGATGGACAAAAGGAAAATATTAAGTGCTAGCATTGAATTAACACCACCTATTCAGCAGTAGAAAAATCTGCAGGATCATTGGCTATGTGAGACTGAAATGTAATCAATCTTTGGCAAAGTTAAATTAATTTCTGGTGCAATTAAACTACACATTGGTTTTGAAAACATGAATATTTCTTTTGCTTGAAATGTGTGATTTCCCTCTGGAAATTCACACAGCATAGTTAATGTGCTTATTACCACTAGGACAGAAAATACTGCCATGTTAGCACTGTCATCTGCTATCCTGCTTGCCTCAACCCTAAAGATGCTTCAGAATTTGTTATCCTTAATGTACTTCTGTTTAAGCCACAGGCTAATATAACTCTCATCATAGACATCTGGTCTAGCTGTATATGTAGGATAGTGGCAATCATGTATTGGATCCTAAGCACATTCTTCCCTTCTTTTGGGTGGAGGAAGGGGCTACAACATCCAGAGGTCTACTGAAATTCCACCAACCAGAATTGAGCTTTAGCTCAAAAAAGGCCTTCTCAGGTGTTTAAATAACTTACAGCTGCTGAATAAATGAGAAAGTATTTTTCCATTTCTGGGCTCAAGGCTGTATGACAATGGAGGAACTGACTGGGTGAGGCTAAGCTCTGTGGGAACTGCAGAGCATTAAGGGTATTGTAGTCTCCCTGCCTATTTGTAGAGGTGCCTCTCAGAAAACTGCAGTATCTTAATGCTTACAAGACCCACTGAGCATGGCTCCACCCAGCCAGTTCCTCCATTGTCAGCTCAGAAACAAAGCAATCTTTTCTCATTTATTCAGGAGCTATAAGTTATTTCAAACATCTAAGAGGCCTTGGTTTGGTGGGGGGAATAAAGTTACCAGAATTCTGGTTAGGGGGATTCTAGCAAACCTCTGGGTGCTTTAGTCCAGTGACCATGAAAGGTCCACCCCTAGTAAGCAACTCTCATACAAATTATGTGAAATTCTTGATTAATGGTGGCTAAAACTCTGACACTTAGTTACACCGATTGTAAGAGGCTATGTCAGAGCTGCCTTATATTCATATTTCTCGGTGTTTACTCTTTTCTCAGAAAACATTGCTGTCTGAATCAACTTCTCAGTCTTCTAAATCCCCATCTTTGTCTACAAAACATCAACATCAGCCTAGTGCTACTTCAATACTTGAAAGCCTTTTCAGGTCTTTTGCTCCAGGAATGTCTACATTTAGAGTACTTTACAATCTTGAGGTAAGTTTGAAGGTATGCGTGTGTCATAGGTCATCTCTGCTATATGTTGTCTTGGGATGAAGTGGAGCAGACAGGCTGCAGATAGTAAAATGTCGAATGAGATTGGCTCATCAGGTGATGCAGTAGTGCTAGATTTCATCTATTGTAGCTCACAATTTTAATGAGGTCTGGAAACTTAGAAACTAGTAACAACAATGTGGTATATAATAATAAAAAATAAAAAACAAAACTAGTAACAACAGAGAAGCTTTTGGTGGGCCTGCCGCAATCCCAATTGAAGGAATCTAAAAACCTTAGGTAGTAGAATGTTGGAAAATACAGGTCAGTCAGTGACAAAATAGTCACAAAATACTACTGTAGTCGCCACTGTTTTTGATATTCTACAAGATTTTTGCACAATTCCTGTAGCACTGTTAGTTCACCAGACACATAAACATTAGGGGTTGACTACATGGGCATTTATCCAACTATTCAGTCCAGGATGGCTCACTCCCTTTGCCAGATATCATATAACATTTATTTTATTTATTTTATTTATTTATTGTATTTATACCCCGCCTATCTAGTCATTTCGACCACTCTAGGCGGCTTACAACATAAGGATAACAAGTTCTTTAAAAATTTATAACAATTAATTAAATGATTCTATAAGATGGGAAAAATAAAAATAAATCAAATAAAGAGAAAAAGAAAGAAAGAGGACAGGAATTAACTGGAAGGGAAGGCCTGCCTATACATCCATGTTTTTAGTTGGTTCTTAAAAGTACCCAGTGAGGGTGCAACATAAATGCCAGTCTGATCCAGCCTGTCCCCAGAGTGCTCCTGTTGGCATCTTTCTGGCTCCCTGACAAGGGCTGCTCCTTTTTAGGTGTGAGTGGGATCACTCCATTTTGTGTTCAACATGTACATTTGCTTGGATCAAATCAAAGCAGAACTTGTTGCTTTACATTTCCCTTCTGCTTTCAATTTCCCAGTATCATTATATGGTCTAAAAAGACAGCTTAGCCACTTCACAGTATTGGGAAATGAAAAACTTCCTCTGCTCCTCCACAGAGGGGCAGGAGAAAGAAGCAAAGGTGTATTCTTTTTAAAGCATGTTCCAGCAGTGCTGATGTCCTGTATTTTTTTTGGGGGGGGGGACTGAATACATGAAAGTTTCCTCTCAGAAGGAAGCAACCAGAGGGGGCAAGAAAAGAGATTGTGTTTGGTTTGATTTGGTTTTTGGCCAGATAGGGTCACTTGAGGAGTGTAAACCATGTGAATGCAAGGATTGCATGAAATGGCATACCAGGCCTCTATGTGACCTTAAAGCAACCCTATCTAGTCAACACCAGTTGACCTACTAAGTTAAGACTTTTGTCTGATTATTGATCCTCAGCACTGCATCACCTTCTTATATTCCTCCCATTCTTTGTTTAAATAGTTTATTGCTGTTAAAATTTTCCATAATTACTGCCTTGAAACTAAAGACATTGTATAGGTATCATAATGTACTTCATGAAATTTTGTTAGTCTCTAAGGTGTCATAGGACTATTTGTTGTGTTAAATTGAATGTTTCTAATGGTGCAAGTGATATTGATAAAAATATTAGCTCATTATCTATTGAAAGAAGCCATTTAACTCCATTGATAAAAGAAAGAAAATGCCATAGAACAGTAACTTATTTCTAAATAGCATTGTTATAGTACAGTACTGTATAAACTTTTGCCTGTCTGCGTAAGAAACTGTGTTAGGGCCTTGCGTAAGAAACACTCTGCTCATTGCTTTGTTAAGACTGCTACTTCTCTGAAATCTAAATATTTTTCAGGTCTTGAGTTCCAAACTAATGCCTACAGCAGATGATGAAATGGCAAGAAATTGTGCCAAATCTTTTTGTGAAAATTTCCTCAGGGCAGGCGGCTTGAGGTTAGTTTTTTAAATATTTATGTCAGCTAAGCAATGCTCTCAGATATTCCAGTAGCATGAAAACTCATATTTGAGCTTTCAGTACTTAGAAATAAAATCCTATGATGTACATTCTCAGTAGTAGTGTTGGAGTAATTGTTGCAAATATTGTAGAGACAACAGTCATAACCTAGCCATATTAATTTACTTTCTTTCAGTTCTTATTTCAGTTCTTATTAGATCCTGATATCTTATATGTCAGTAAATTTAGAGAAATTATCCGTGTTCCTTTTATAAGCCTTTCCTCAGACATGTCCTAAAGACAGAGATGCCACAAGTACAGTGCACTCTGCATTTTCAGTGTTTCCCTTGGTGGTTGATTCTCTTCTGTTCAGATTATTATAATCTAATTATTTAAAGAAAATATTTATGTGACAGTTTTCTTTAGATTATTGCTTCATTTTCTGTACTGTGGTTATTTTGTCAAATGTTTCTACATAGTGAAATTTCAGCAATGTCAAAATATCTATCCAGATCATTTTGGGCCAAATATATATATATATTCTCTAGACTCATCTGAATTGATGTGGTATACAGACATCATAGCTTCTGTTTTGTACAGTAAATACTGAAAATCCTGTAAAAACTGAGGCAGGAGTCTTAAATCTTCTTTCCAGCCATGCAGAAATTGGAGAAAGGGCTGCATGTGATGAACTCTTGGTTTTACTATAAGGAGTGCATGGGGCCTAGGGGTGGGACTTCCTGATTTAAAAGAGCATGTCCCAGGACCGCGCGCCTAATGGCGCGCGAAATTCTCAAATTTTATATCTGGCCTTAATATGGTAAATAGGAAAGCCAATGAGGTTTGCATAAGCCGGGGAGTCAGGAAAGTTTTAAGGAGCAGATCATACTTTTGCACTATTAAAGAGCAGGTCGGGTAGGTGGGGCTCGTCAGCCGTGGAAGGCAGCCCATCTAGGAGAAGGAAAACTCCAATCTCAAACCTCCACTGCCTTGTGGCTATATCCACTCGTGGAAACGGCTTCAGGAGTTAACCTCGAGGCAAAATCCGGAGCTGGAGTCCCGAAGGCAGCATGTGTTGTTCTGCCAACTCCTGCGACATTGCTGTTACCAGTTGTATTGGCTCTTGCCTTTCCATTGGACCATTTCAGCAATGTGGAGAGGGGGGATCTGCTGCTTGGGTAACAGCCTATCCTCCATATTACCTTACCTGGGCTTCATGGTCTGGAGAGGACACTCCTCGATTCAGAGCATGTTACCATAGTCTCTCGAGACTGAAGGATGCCTGTGTGTGTGTGTGTGTGTGTGTGTGTGTGTTGTCTGTATACCACATCAATTCAGATGAGTCCAGAGAAGGTTTAGAAAGTCCTTTTTGTTATATCTGCTTCTCTGTATATCAGCCTAATTTAACACACGCAGATATGGATATGGCACAGCTGTTGTAGTTTTTTATTGATGGCTGTAGTCAGCCAGCAGGTTACCATTAAACTGTAGCTTCTGCAAATAGAGGACAGCCCCCTGAATACAGTCAATGCTACAAATTCTTTACCCCCCATTGACAGGTAAGTGCAGATTCAGGAGTAAATTTCACCACATTATCTTAGGCCATATATTATGCTAATCACTTGTGAGTCTTGATTTCACAAGCTGCAGCTGGTATGTGCTGACTGACATAAAGTCAGGGATGTCAGTCTTCAGTGTGCTTACTGAAGTCCTGCTTTTACCCCCTTTGAATCATAATTTGAAATGGGAATATCCATTTAGTTGATGGGGTTCTTCTTGCTCAGTTGCTGTTGTTTTTTTAATCACTGCTTAATTTTATTTTCCAGCTTGGTAGTAAATGTCATGCAAAGAGACTCCATCCCTTCAGAAGTGGACTATGAAACAAGACAAGGAGTGTACTCAATTTGCCTGCAGCTAGCAAGGTATGTTGTTATTGACTTTTTCAAAGGTACAAGTGTATGATGCTACTAGGCTTGAAGCTTGATCTTCTTAAATGTGTGCAATGGCTCTCACTGTACAAAATGGCACAATTCTTTTTAGATTTTTGCTTGTTGGGCAAACAATGCCTACCTTGCTTGATGAGGATCTTGCCAAGTATGGAGTGGAAACACTGTCTTCACGCCCATTTCGTAATGTAAGCCGACAAACCAGCAGGCAAATGTCAATTTGTGGAACCCCAGAGAAGTCTTCCTATCGGCAGCTGTCCGTTTCCGACAGGTCCTCTATTCGGGTAGAAGAGATCATTCCAGCTGCACGGGTTGCAATACAAGTAAGCAGTGCCAGCATGATAGAAACATCCTTAATAAAAGAGGAGTCTCATGCGGTTCCGTATGCAAAACTTTGGTAGGAGTTTGATTTTTTTGTGGGTTTTTCTTTGCTTGTGTTGTTGTTTTGTTTTTTGCTAGTCTCATTAGACTCCAGTACGCCCCTTTGGCATCTCCTCAAAACTCAACTGTTTCTGTGTTTCAAGTGTCTCCTTGCCTTATGCTTAGAAAATGTATTTTCTTTCAGACAATGGAGGCAAATGACTTCACATCTACAGTAGCTTGTTTCATGAGGCTCTCCTGGGCGGCGGCTGCAGGACGGCTTGACCTCGTGGGGAGCAGCCAGCCAATAAAAGAAAGTAACTCACTGTTTCCTGTTGGAATTCGTAACCGGCTTAGCAGCTCAGGTACTGCACTAGGTTAACTAAATTGAAACAGCTGAGATTTGTTTGCCGACTTCAGCACTGTGCAACACAAAAAGTTTCATGCTGCCTGGAGCTATTCTGCCCCAACTGGAGAGAGCTAAAATTTTAGCCTTGATGTCCCTGAACAAACTTCTTCTACCTTGTTGTATCTTGTTTGCCTGTTACAGGAAGCAATTGTAGTTCAGGAAGTGAAGGAGAACCAACAGCGCTCCATGCCGGAATCTGTGTGAGGCAGCATTCTGTATCCACCAAAGATGCACTGATTGCTGGAGAGGCCTTGTCTCTCCTAGTTACGTGCCTACAGCTTCGCAGCCAACAACTAGGTAGGTCTGGGAGAAGTTGTTTCTCTACCTAATGTCACGCCCTAATGCTTCTGTAACTCAAAGTAGCATTAATCCTGTTCTGCTGTAAAGACCCAGTCTCCCTATCTAACTCTTCTCTCTTCTTCTTCTGTTCTACATGTGCTTTCTATTCTAGAATGCTATTAGTATTTTTAATTGATATGTTAACAATAGGAGTATTGCATTCCGCAATATTTTTCAAGAGAACTGGTTGATAATCTGCAATTGTTTTATCTTAGGCTCTTTCTACAACCTCCCTTGCGTTGCTGACTTTATCATAGACATTCTGCTTGGCTCACCAAGTGCTGAGGTGAGTGGCTTACCTTTGTACTCAACAGGCTTGTACTGCCAAGAGTTCCCAGTTGAGTATTCTTTGTTCCCTCCATCTTCAAGGCCTGCCCAGGAAGCAGCTGATAACCATTTGCTACATATGTTAATTACTGTAGCCTTTTTTCTGCAGTTCATTTCTCAAGTGAATACGTTGTGAGGAAAAGAGAAAGAACTGCACTGCTTTGAGAAACGGGCTTCTGAGCATTAAATTAACTGCTAGTGTATTCACCACATATTACTGGTACATTATGGATAAATTGAAAATAACTGTGGTGGGATTTTACATCAGGAGTCTAGAGAGGAATGTGCTAAACGGAGGAACAAATTACCAGCACCTCCTATGTATAGGGAAGCATCTATATCTAAAATTTGGTGCCCTGTAGCATTGCTGAACTCTGTTACTGACCTGTCAGTTTTCTATGTGTCGATGGGTAGCTTACAATAAAAATAAGCCAGTTTGATCTCTTTTTAAAAAGATAAATTGCACTCTGCATTAGCTGGGCTAGATTGAATAATATGGAAGCTTAATCCTTTTTTAGAGATATCTGTGAGTTCTCCTTAGATATATTTAGAATCTGATGTTCTGCTGTTTCAGATCCGTCGTGTTGCCTGTGACCAGCTGTATACTCTAAGCCAGACAGACACATCATCTCATCCTGATGTACAGAAACCAAACCAATTTCTCTTAAGTGTCATTCTTACTGCTCAGCTGCCCCTTTGGTCACCTACCAGCATCATGAGAGGAATCAACCAGAGGCAAGTTTGTTCAATTGAGAATGTAAGAATTAAAAATAAGCATTTGTGATGCAGAAAAGGGTAATGTGCTTTCACTGAGTAACCAAGTCACCATAAGATTATTGAATATTATAGGACACTGATGCCTTATGTACCCACCATTTTAGGCAAGATACATGGACTGGAAAGACATTTGGAAGTAGCATAGTCTGCTAGGATGACTTGTCATTAGAGTTCTTATATACCTTTTGTTTTGCTCTAGTAAGTTTGTGAAGAGTAATCATAAAGCCAGAATCACATCTGAAAGTAAACTGAAAGAAAATTTCTGGAAATGATAGGAAAATGTGCGTAATTGTAAATATTCAAAGAAGCAAAACCAGGCAATATACTGCATTAAAAATAGTAGTAATGTTTAAGCATAGTTGACAGAGCAGGCCTGTGCAGGCTGACCCAAAAGCACACTTACACAGGATTATAATCCATAAATTCCCCGAGAGGATAAAAACATTATTCTGTGCATGTGGCACAGAAGCTCCTCATTCCAATGAAGATTTTAGGATTCCAAAAACTGCCCCTGTCTCAAAAGCGGGAGGGGGAGGTCAAAAAGAATTATCCTGGTGAAAGTTTTCAAAATGGTACAGAAATAGCTTCCAAATTTGAAAAAAAGAGATCAAGAAAGCAAAATCATAAATGCCTATGAGAAGTTTTAGGAGCAAAATTCAATTTGAAAGAAAAATAGTTTGGGTTTTTGTTTTATTTTTTTAAAGAAGACACGGCTATTGCAATCTTGAAAAAAAAGATGTTGAAACAAATCTAGCTAAAAGGTCAGAGAGCAAAAAGAAAAAATCAGCCTTCGCAAATATAAAAAAATCATCTCATCTTGAGGGTAAGCTAAAGGCCCAAGGCCTCAAAATGGAGCAGAAAAAGCAAAAGCAAAAAGAACAGTCCTCTGAGTTTTTTTTCTCCAGTACATGTAGCATTTGGACTTTTCATACCATGTTACTAGAACATTCTTAACTGGACCTCCTAAGAGTGTATCCCAATTAAATAGTTGTTCTGGACTGATCTTGGTTTGCTCATGTTAGAATCATCAATTAATAAATGTTAAAAGATCGTTTTTGCCTAGTGAACAAGATCAAGAGCATTTGGTGCAGCTAACATCACATATTTCATAGTGTATGTTGAGGAGTTCAGAATACACTGGTATAGTTGTCAAGTTGCCTGTTCAATGGATTGATGAATCATTGGATCCCAAGTTATAATTATTTTCTTTGTGATCTGCTCTTGAATTGAAAGCCATATTTTTTTTCAGTATCCAGGAGTTCATCTTACATGCTTAGTGAATTCAAAATCATCCATCTGACATTTTGCCTTTAACTGATGCCTGAAATCATGCTTTGAACCAACATAAAACTGCCCATGAGAACTTGGAAGTGATGATCTCTGTATCTTTTGGCATAGATTCAAAAATAAAATAGGAAAAAATAAATTGCAGGGAATACACGTGTGGTCACTGTCTTAGATTTCTGGAGAACTTATAGACACAACTAGATTGTAACACTATGTGGAGACAATAAAGGAAATAGTGAAGTATAGAATAATGCACATATTTATAGGAAACGTGGAAATTAGTGATAATTTTTACTATTTCACAACTAGCATCTTACAAATATTTCCTTCGTAATATTTTTAACTGAAATGTCTACTACAAGGTGAAAGAGTATTACTGTACCTGCAAAAAGTCGCCATTAATTTAAAAGCTGTTTTCCATCTCTCATTATCACCAAAAACAGATCTGTAGTTCTCATAGTTTTCTTATTATAAGAAGACTCCAGAATATCAGGAGAACTGAGCCAAAGTTACCTGTATACACAATCCAGGTTTTTGTCAACCCTATATTGAGATTCATAGCATCTCAAAGCAGAACAAAGAAAATAATTGTACCCATACCTTGTGGGGCTCTTACAGGCAAACAGTTAGCTGCTGTGTGATCGGAATGCTAAACCAAGTAGGCCATGGGTCTGATTCAGCATAGCTCTTCGTAGTTCCAAGTGCACTTCTCACTTCCAAAGCTTTGTTCCTTTCCATGGCTCTGTAAATCCAGTACGGCTCCTATGTGCCTGGAAAACAAAGGATTAAAAATGGTGCTCTAGCAATGTAAGATAGCAGCTAACTGAAGTTTCTCATCTTCTACCTTATCTCTTAAATTTATGAAGTTCACCACAGAAAATAGGTGGCCTGAGCCAAGAGAGGCAGTGTGGCCATGGAAAGTCACAGAGGTTAACAGCAATAAAAACTTCTCCCCTAAATGTCGCACATACCTTGAAAAACCCTATTAGTTGTAAGTCGGATGTGACTTGATGGTACATTATAACAACAAGAGTCAAGGTAATTACGCCATTTGTTTTTCATTATTAACATCTGTTTGTCACACCATAATATAAAGTTCTCTGTGCAGCTTACAATAAACAGATATAAAGCAGTGTAACTACAGACTGAGATATGAAAACACAGAAACGTAGCCAGTAAAAATCCAGCCACAGAAAATAAAGTTTATGGAAAATCTAAGCAAAATTAAAATACAAATTGTGCAGCAGAGACCCAGATTACATGAGTTACTTAAAAGGCATAGGTGACCACCAAGGTCTTCACCTTGTGTCAGAGAAGACTACAGAGATGATGCCAGACAAACTTTCCTGTTCAGAAGGAAAACTCCCAGCCAATGCCAGGGTAGAACCTTGCCCTCGAAGTGTTTTTCAGGGTTTTTTTCTTTCTCCATCGCTGCCATAGAATTAGGCCCAGGAATGGGATGTCAGTTGTATTTGATCAGACATTGTGTTTTTGCTTGCTCCACCTGTGATCCAGCCATTTTCCCACTTCTGCCATCAATGCTATCCTTAGCTCACGTGCATATGAAAGAGTAGTATAATTCTGTTCAGTAGAAGAGAGTGTTTGGAAATTTATTGGGCCTTTGGCTGTAGAATAAATTTGTATTGTTCTGTGTTTGGAAACAACTCCGTTAACAACACCCCCAAGTCATCCGTTAAAACTTCAACCTTCTTTCTGCCTCTGTTAAATTCTGTTTAATGTACAGTGGTCTTTGCTAGAAAAATAGCTTTAAATATAAATGTAAATCCTAAATCTGTTTTCATGAACAGTATTTGAATAGCTGTATATCACCCTGGGCACAACATGGTAATTAACAGATTATCAGTGTGAGCTTAAAATGGTAGATCTTTAATTTATAGTATAAAATGTAAGTAGATTGACATATTGGCTGATTCTGAATAAATGTTTTGATATATAGATATATATGAAAAGGTTTCTGCACACCATTTCTATTTTATTTCTAGTTTTAATTATAGTACATTATTTTTTTCCTAGACTCTTGTCCCAGTGTACAGAGTATTTTGACCTTAGATGCCAGTTACTGGACGATCTCACATGTAAGTATCAGAAGCCAGAATTATGTGCCACTTGAAACCCAAGAAGAAAATTGTAAGCTTGTATCCTTTCCAATTTGAAAATGAGTGAGTAGAAGAATGAGCAAGTAGTGAAATTGTTAGTTTTCTTAGTAACTGTAAGCGTTTTTAAAATCTGTTTAGCTACACATTATAAGATATTAAATAAGTGGGTTCTAGACCAAATCAAGTCTGAACTCTCTCTAGAAATAAAAATGACTGACCAAAACTGTCTTACTTTGAGCACATTATGGAAAACAAGACTCATTGGAAAAGACAGTAGTGTGGCAAAAGCTGAAGGCAGCATGAAAAGAGGAAGAGCAATGAGTTGACTCAATAAAGGAAGACACATCCTTGAATGTATTCTCGAAGACTTTCATGGCCAGGTTCCGATGGCTGTTGTAGGTTTTTTTGGGCTGTCTGGCCATGTTCTTGAGGCTTTTCTTCCCAACTTTTCACCAGTCTCTGTGGTCAACATCTTCAGAGGACAGGAGTCAGAACTCTGTCTGTGCTCTGGTGCAGTTTGTGGGATACTTGAGATCAGCCCCAAAAACTTACAACAACCACACATTCTTGATTTTGCAAGATCTGAGCAGGGCTATTGACTGTAAGGCTGCTTGGAGGTCACTAATTTGAAGGGTGGGAATAAGTTGCTGGCTACTTGACAATGTCTTAAACTGTAGATCATGGTCTCTAATGTAAATTGCCATGTTCAGTAGTGGTGACTATAACAATAAAAATGCCTGAATTTAAATAGTTAAGCACAGACTATTTTACTCCAGCCAACTCAACATTTAATTTCTATTAGCTTAGGTTCCTTTGTGAAGTAAGTGCTTGGGTTTAATGTTTAAAATATTAGCATAGTATGAATTATGAGTTATACTGAGTTTTTGTGTTCTGTGCCTACTATTTGTATTTTATTTTCTCCCACCAACCCTGCCCTGGTTTTTATCACCTAGCTTCTGAAATGGAACACCTAAAGATTAGCCCCGCTGCCATGTTGGAGGATGAGATCACGTGGCTGGATAACTTTGAACCCACCCGTGCAGCTGAGTGTGAAACCAGTGAAGCTGACAATGTGTTATTGGCAGGACATTTGCGCCTCATTAAGACTCTTCTCTCACTTTGTGGAACAGAAAAGGAAATGCTAGGTAACTGACTTTCCAGCAATGATTTTGTAAAGAAATGGCTACTTCATTCTGTCTGCTCAAGACTGAGATCACTATTCTTTCTGATATGTCAGTTGAAGCCTCATTGCAGTAAACAAACAAGAGTCCTAATCTTTTTACAGGAAAAAGAATAGTACTTAGGCTTTCTGTCACTGTACTTATTTGGTGCTCTGAGCAGCCACTCTGTGGTATAATATATGCTCAGAATGACTGGCATTTTAGCCACTTGTTTTATTTAGACCCCAGTGTAGAATGAAACATCATTAACTTCAGCTTCCCAAAAGCGAAGAATTGCCCCATTTGGATCTAGCCATCATCTAGCTAGCCTCTAGATTTGTTGTGAATGACAGTCATTATGTACAAAATAAGGGGTTGCTGCTCTCTCAAGAAGAATTAGAGATTTTATTTTTAAAAAGGAATTCCTTGGTGCCTTGTTACATTGAAGGTTCATGCACAGCAGTACTGTATATTCCAAGGCTATTGAACAGCTTTATATGTCAGTGATAACTAGAAATTGAACATGCTATATTTTGCTGGAGAAGTGTGCATCTTAGAAATATGTATGAGTCATTGCTGCTTTATTTATCATTTACTTCAGTTGGGAATGTCACCATCTGGAGATTTCTAATGAACTTCCACTTTTTTTTCCTTCCATACTGTTGCTGGAAATTAGCAGTTCATCCATGACACAAAGCTGTGCACACACAAACTGTCTCTGTTGTGCTGTTACTGTTCAAGAACCAACATTTGGACACGCAGTGTATTCTTCACAAGTTCATATTCCAACCCTTGTAATCTGAGTAGCTCCTACAAACAATGAGTATATAACAGTTTGGGAAGATGTTACTGTACCTATTTAAAAGTGTTATCTGAAAAACAAGGTGTAATTTGAAGAAGCTGAGTGTGTAGTTGCCTGATTTGAAGGAGAAATATTCAGTAATATTCTTAACATAATGATAATCAACAAAAACAACAAAAGATTGTTTTCATTTCATGATGAATTTTTTAGTGTTTGAGTCATAGCAAGGGCCCTGTGAATCATCATCTAGCCCCTTTCAAGGAGGCACAGTGGGGAATTGAACTCCCAACCTTTCACTCCACAGCCAGATACCTAAACCACTGAGCTATCAAGTCACTGGCTGGAAAGAAGAAACTTCTTAAATATGACAAAAACTACCCTGAGTTTGAGAGCCAGGAGAGTATAGTTCCTAAAACATCAGACAAGGACTCAGACTTCAGTTCAGTTCTCCACTCAGCCATGGAAACGTACTGGGGGTGGCACTGGTAAGACGTCTTCTCAAGTACAGTGGTGCCTCGCATAGCGAGGTTAATTGGTTCCAAAAAAAACATCGCTATGGGAAAACATCGTTAAGTGAAACGTGTTTTCCCATAGAGATGCATTGAAAACCGGATAATCCGTTCCAATAGGAACGGATTATCCGGTTTTCTCCCCCACTATCGGGCGCAGCCCTTTGGGAGAAGCCTCGGAAGGGCAAAGTTGCTGGAAACTAATCAGTACAATTGTACTAAGTGCAACTAGCTTGTCCATTCAGAATACTGTACAGCTCTAAAATAGCATCCAGAACAGCTCTGAGGTGGGATCAAACCCAGATCAGAATCAATCCAAAACCCTGCTAACAAGTGAATAATACAGGCATTATCCCTACAAGAAACCTTCTACTTTCCTAAGATTACACAACTAGACTTCCTTCCTCCACGTAAGGATCAGGTGGACCTGTAGCATTCACTCTGTTCATGAGTACAGTGGTGCCTCATACAAGGAGTGCCCCGTTTAACGATGAACTCCTTGGCAGGCACCGCGGCTCAGATCGGATCGGAGTCGCGGTGCCTGGCGAGGAGTCCGGCCATGCCATCGCTATGCGAATTCATCGTTAAACGGGGCACTCGTTGTACGAGGCACCACTGTACCTCACATACCTTGGAAACATAACTGGAAGTAAACTTGAAAGCACATCAATCAATCAACCCATCCATCCCACACTGTGAATTCAGTGCCTTGGTACAGCTAGATTAAGCTTTCTGATCCATAGCAGTTATCTGTGGAGACTCTTCTGAACTCTGCTTTCTGAGACAGTTTTAACTGAAACTGCTGGGGAAATTGAAACTGAGACCTTATTCATGAAAAATATATGTCCTCGGACACATTCCTGTTGCCTGACCATGTTCTATAAATGATGTAATGCTTAATAGCAAGCAAAACTTTACTCTTTTCGTAGGTTCATCTTTGATCAAGCCATTATTGGATGACTTCCTCTTCCGAGCATCTAGGATCATCCTGAACAGCCATTCTCCAGTTGGCAGTGTTGCCATTACTCAGCAAGACTTTCACCCAAAGTAAAGAGTGTATTGATACATTAGCAGTAATAAAGAGAGGGATGCAATAGAGTGGGGTATATCATTTTGGGTACTCAGTCACCTTTATATATGTATAAAAGCAACAAAAGTCCTTTTCATTTCTTAGACATTGCAGTTTCTTCATGGGTTGTAAGTTAGGGTTATTTATGTGTTCTGAAACCCAAATAGCTGGAAATAAATGCTTACCTGGAGTGGCTACTAAGCAAAACATGGAATTATTACTTAATTATAAATTGTCTGTATTGCACTCTTTAGGACTTTTGTCAAGTTTTTACAATATTGTGTTTCAAAATCTGCATGTACTGTATTTTTCCGTGTATAAAATGATACTTTTTACTTAATTAGACAAAAAAATGAGGGTCGTTTTATACATGGAAGGCAGTTCTTTTCCCTCCCTTTTGCAAAGCCACTGGGTAAAGCAGCCATGCACGCTTGCACCTCTTTGATCCTGAAGCATGCCATGAAAGGGCTTCAGGACCAAAGGGGTGCGATTGTGCAAATTTTCTAATTTGGGAGTTAGAAAAGGGGGGGTCTTATACATTGGTTAGTCTTATAAACAGAAAAATACGGTAATCAAGTTTCTTTCCACAGCTACTGATTTAGTATTTGTAATTTGTATGGCAATGTTTCCAAGGTTCTTTTCTGGTTTGCTTTCCACATCAGCAAGAGAAACAAAGGATCTAGAAGACCTTTGGCAAGGCAGGATGTTGTACACATTTACTGTAACACCCCACTGGCCCAAGGTGATTTTTAAAAATCAGAAGAACACAAGCAGAGCTGTTCACATTCACCCCACTAGCCAATAAACCTTTAGTTTCTGGGGCTTCTCAGCAAGCCCTCCAGGATCACTGTCAACTTTCATCCAAGAAGGACTTGAATTTCCAGGGCCAGTCATTCATCCTCACTCAAAAGCTCTTCCAGGTGACAGACAGGAATTTTATAGGTATGCAGTAGAAATTACTTACGCCCTGCTTTTTTCAGTGTGGGCTTTGATTTTACAGCACTACTTTGAAGATCTTTATGGATGGGCTGCCAGGTCAGTAGACACATTCCTTCTAGTAAAGAGATATTCAAATTCACCAGGCAAATATAGATAAAGGTTAAGTACTAATACCATATTAAGGTATCAGAAAGTAGATGTGGAGTCCTTTTTCTGCTTGTAATTCTAGGATCCAGGAACATCTATTTGAAGCTAAAAGAAAAGAAATTCAGGGCAGAAATAAGTATTTCACAAAGCACACAAACTATACTTTGAGATCAGAAGATATTGTACCAAGCTAGACAGCTTTAAAAGCGGAATAGACATGTTCATGGAGGAACAATGATATCAGTGGCTGCTGGTCATGATGACTCCATGTCTGTCATGGGGAATATGATCAGGAAGTTGCTGTTTCCCTCATGTCTTCTTTATGGGCTTCTGTATGCATCTCGTTGGCTGCTGTGGAAACAAAATGCTGGAGTACAGCTTTGTTGTAGCATGGCTGCAATGCTCTTCTATCTCAAAGTAAAAAATTGGTCCCCTCTTACCACATATTAAGAAATTCCTCAAAGGAGTTTCTCTGATTGGTCTCCGTATGGTGCACTGTTCTCTAGCATGAAAGTTCATTTGGATGTCTACAGCAGTCATGGAGAAAACACTCAGATCTATGATAATGTGCTCCTAAAAAGTGATAATCTTAAAGTTATTGTTTCTAGTAGTAATCATCTTGAAATTTAGGCATTCTTTTCCATCTGGCTTTTATTTGAATCTTGGAAACTGTAATGAATTTATGATAGGGAATGATAAATATCCAGAATTTATCTATTCCTTGCCTGCATCTGCAAAATGAATAGCCTCAACTGGTCCAGGAAAAAAATTCCCCAAATGGTTTTAAAATTAGACTGCACAGATGGGCATTAAATGTAGCTTTGCTCCCCTTTGGCAACTGTTGGAAGTAGGTCATTTGTTATAATTTGCCAGTGTGAAAACTGAGCACAAAGAGCTTATGTTTGCTCCTTCTAGGTGCAGCACAGTGAATAGCCGATTAGCAGCATATGAAGTGCTGGTAATGTTGGCTGATAGTTCACCTTCAAATCTTCAGCTTATAACAAAAGAACTGCTTTCTATGCATCATCAGCCTGATCCTGCACTTTCTAAGGAATTTGATGTAAGTGGGTTCTTTTCCATTTAGCTGGAACTAGTAACTTCATTTATGTTTATTTAAAGATAAAAGTCAAATGTTAAATAGAAATAATGTTGGTTATAGGAATATACCCCTTAGCAGGAAAGAAGAATGGTTTTTCATAGAATTATATCCATTAATACTTGTAACTACTCTTGTACTACACATTTCTTTTCTTTCTCTGTCCTCCAGTATCTGCCACCTGTAGATGGTCGATCCATTTCAGGGTTTGTGGGACTGAAGAATGGTGGAGCTACGTGTTACATGAATGCAGTCTTCCAGCAGCTCTATATGCAACCGGGACTTCCTGAGGTAATATTTATTCACAATTGTTATAACACATGCTTTTACTGAGTCTGTTACCTTTATGTAGACAGGGATTGGGGTGGGGGGGAGGATTGTTAATGTTTACAAGTAAAATGAAAACTTTGGGTTGAGTCCAACATCAGTTTGTTTATCAGGCCTTTACAAGTGAAGGACTGGCTTACAAACCTGAGAACTTCCTCGGGGGACCTTTTCCAGTCTACTGCTTCCAAGTTAGGGTGCAACTATGTCAGGATTTGTCCCGCATGTTCCACTCTGGGAACAGTCTGGTTCACTCTTTTTCCTAGCAACCATACAGTGTAAGCACAAACTAGCATGTCCCCAGAGCATTCATTCCTGCATTTTTTTTGGCTCCCTTTCAGGGGCCACTCTTTTAGGCATGGGTAAGATGTCTCTGTTTTGGTTTGTTTCCCACTCCACACTTACAAAGCAGATAAGACTTACAGCCTCTCAACCCAACATCACTTCAGTCTCAGTGATACATAATACAGGACAAAGGAGGATTTAGTCCTTAATGGTAGTGCGAGTGTAACAAGCCTCTCTTATTTTTAAGACCTAACTAGTGCCTCTTTGAAGGTGATGACAGTGAATAAGAATAACCTGGGTGTGTTACACAGTAATCATGGCTGGTTCATGTAAACATTAAGTGTTCCATTTCAGGGTTTGAGATACAAAGAGCATCAGAAAAGTTTTTCATATCGTTTGTAGTAGGTTTTTTTCTCTGTGGCTCAAGACATTTGCTAGCTCTTGAACCACTTGTTATGCTAACTACCCTCCTGTGGAAAAAAGTATTTATATTTGGAAATAAATATGTAGTAAATTTTTCATTGTCTTGCATTTATAATAACATTTTTTGTTTCTAAAGGCATTGCTTTCAATTGATGATGACATGGACAATCCAGATGATAGTGTGTTCTACCAAGTCCAATCTCTCTTTGGTCATCTAATGGAGAGCAAGCTGCAGTATTATATACCTGAAAATTTCTGGAAGGTAGGACATTTAGGATGAAGATCTTGTATTTCAATCAACAGATCCAATAAACATTAATAACAAAATAAAACAATGGTTAACATGGCTAAGATTATATAAACATGTTTTGACATTTGAATGGATTATTTTCAAATGTAATTTACAGTTTACTATTTTAATTTTTTTATTTCTGTACTATCTCCTGCAATTCAAAGTATGTCACAACAAGATTAACTAAATTGGTTCCAATAAAATAACAGTTACAGTAATAAATATAATTATATTATTAAAACACAGTTGAATTATTAATTTTTTTTTTAAGTAATGAATACAATTCTCCCTATTTCTTACCATCTGGTGGTACAGAGCAATGGGGTTTCTCCTCTCTGTCTAAGATATGTGGCACTTTTTCCTTTTTTCCACATTTGGTGTGGGATTGGTTTAAGATCTTTCTCCCACTCCACCCCCTAATATCTTTTTCTTGTCTCCTCCAGAGACTTTTAACATTGCACAGTTTAAATTATCTCAGGATCTTGAAACCATAACTGTGTGGAATGCATATTCATTTTATAGATCTTCAAGATGTGGAACAAGGAGCTTTATGTGCGTGAACAACAAGATGCCTATGAGTTTTTCACCAGTCTGATAGATCAAATGGATGAGTACCTCAAGGTTATTTTTATATTTGCTATTATGATGCCATGACTGATATTTGGTGCACAGCCACGTAATGTGCAAGTTAGTTTCTATTGACGGTATCAATCTCTTACAGAAAATAGGACGAGACCAAATATTTAAGAACACTTTTCAGGGCATCTACTCTGATCAGAAGATCTGCAAGGACTGTCCACACAGGTGAGTGACTACTTAACTAATTCCTCATCAGCAGGGATAGTTGAATGTTGTCGAATTCAGGAAATGATGGTAGAGCATGTTTCTTGTATGTAGAAATTGTTGTGTCCAGTCCCTGATATTTCTGTTTAAGAGAATCAAGCAGAACATGAGAGGAATCATAGCCTGAGATAGGAGAGCCATAGATTATCATAGAGGACCCAGAGGTGTTTTGAGGGAATGAAGATAACAAAAGACTAGAGTATTGTTGGTACTTAAACTTGAGAAATGTCTAGCTGCCCACTACAAATATTGTAAGGAACGGGAGGTAAATTGGGTATTTAGTGTATTAATTTGCTGCAGATATGGAAAATAAAGAATTTGTTACCACCAAAGTGTAATTGAAGCCTTTCTCAGATTTCTTTCCTCCCCTCCCCTGCATGAATTCCTCCCATGTTTGCCTACAATCCTGTAGCTACTGGGAAGAGTTTTAGGATGGAGTGTCTCTCTCCTGCCCAAATAGGAGGAGGTTCACACACAGAAAAGTAGGCCTGCCCTCCCAAGATTCTGCATTCTGAATATGGAAAGCCTCACCAGCCTGGGTGCTCTACCACTGGTGTTCCTGCAGTTGTAGCAAAAGAAAAGAAAAAAAGGATGGAGGCTTCAGGTCCAGTGAATGGCGCACCCTCCTGTTCCCTCCTATAGGTCCCTAAAATACAAGTAAGCCAGTCAGAGTCCTCATCTACATACTTTTTATCTTTTTAAGACAAATAGAAGAAAGTTAGATGGGAGAAAATGGAAGAATATCCCATACAAAAATGCCCCTTCTGCCCATGATCTTCTAGTTCAGATTTTCCCTAGATCAGTGGTGACGAATCTTTTTGGGCTCATGAGCCCAAACGGGGGGGGGCAGTGGGCGGTGTGCCGCTGCAGCAACAGCAGCGGCGGTGGACCCGGAACTGGAAGTGGCAGTGGAAGGGGGAATCCTGGCATGAAGGTGCCTGGAGACCCCACTTTGCCAGCACCAGCTGCTCCGGATCCACCTGCTGAAGCGCCAGCACCATGGCTGCAGGGGGGGGGGAGTAGAAAGTAGAGGTCAAAGAAGCCCTTTGCTCTTTTTCTGCTGTGGATGAGGCGGATGAGGCAGCAGGAAGGGGAAGTGCCTGTCTCTTTCCTCTTCCTCTCCATGACCAGGCTTCCCTCTATCCCTGCCCCTCTGACTTGCTCGGCAAAGGTCCCCTCAGCAGTGTTCCCATCTCCTGCCACTGCTTTTTTAAAACAACACACAGCAAAACACTCTTTGCTGTAAATGGTCGGGGTGTTGCACTGCTGTCTCTGTGTGTCCGCATGCACCTCCTTGCTGCCGTCCCAACATTGGGCCTATTGGTACACAAGCGAGCTGCCCCTGCCCGCCCGCCCGTGTTGTCTCGTTGCGCACAAGCTGCAGCCGCCTTCTCAGGTTTGGCTGGGGGGGGGGGTTAGTGATCTCATGACCTATAGGTTTGCCATCACTGCCCTAGATAATTGCTCTACTTGTGGTATATCTGCAGTGATACTGACAGAGACTTGCTAGCTAGTCTCAAATTCTATGAAAATAATAACTTAAGTTTTTAACCATACAGAATACTATTGAATAATTAATTGGACATGAGGCAGACTTGGAGCCTTGTTAGCGATACTGATTACAATGAACGTACCTGAAACTTTGTAACATGATGGCTGGTAGTTTTAGATCGCAACACTTATTTTAAAAAAAAAACATCTCTTCTCCTTGGTGTAGGTATGAACGAGAGGAAGCCTTTGTGGCTCTCAATCTAGGAGTCACTTCATGTCAAAGCCTAGAGATTTCGTTGGATCAGTTTGTAAGAGGAGAAATTCTGGAAGGAAGCAATGCCTATTACTGTGAGAAGTGTAAAGAAAAGGTACTACTAAACTAAAACATAGTTTCTGTAGGGAAAGACTCCACAGACTATTAGTTGTTATATTACATTTCTGTGTTGTCACAAAATAGTCAGGTGGTGTACATATGGATGCCCCATTTTACCCTCAGACAACCCTGCGAAAAATTGTCAAGAACTACCCTGTGAGCTTCACAAATATGATGGCCGATGAAACTTGGCATTAACGTCTACTGTGTGAACTCTTTATTTTACCTCATATGTCTGAAGAAGTGGACTTGTCCATGAAAGCTCACATTAAACTATCATAGCCTTTAAGATGCCACAAGGTTTTTTCTCCCCCCCCCCCCCCGGATTTTGCCTGATACACTGAAAAATTGTTATAGTATAGTTAAGTGGCAGTGGCCAAAATCCTGTTACTTTGTGTAGTGCATCACACTAGAGTAGGCCCATTGAATTAATTTGGATTTGGTGAGTCAGCACCCTTCAATTTCCATTGATTCAAGTGAGCTTACTCCAACTGTGACTTACTAAGCAAAATTAAGTGATGGCAGCTGACTGAGAATATAGTAGTAAGTTTCTCTCTCCACAGTGTGAGGTCTTCGATTGTGCACATATGCTGATTTATAAGACGATTATGTCAGAGGCACAAAATGCTACAAAATGAGTATCTGTACAACAGCAGGTGACTTTTTTGTTTTTAAGAGAACTACAGTAAAACGGACATGCATTAAAGCTTTGCCCAGCGTATTGGTGATCCACCTCATGAGATTTGGATTTGATTGGGAAAGTGGACGTTCCATTAAATATGATGAACAGATAAAGGTAAGCACAACAATTTTCTTATATCGCTACTGAAGGCACTGTCTCCTGTATTAAATATGGATATTGGCTATTGTGTATGTCTCTTACATAGACTTTGTAGGTCACTACTATTGCTATTAATAGGAGGCTTTCTAGGAGGCAGAAAATAATTGATTTATACCTCATTTTTTATTTAAGTCATGTAGACCAAAGGTTTTGAAATTAAGGACTGAATCCTGGAAAAAAATGATGAAAGTTGCTTATTTACCTTGCCATTTCACATCCTGTTTCTTGTAGTAGCCATCCTTTTCAAATTCAGGTGCTTGGTAGATAAGCGTGGAACATTTGGGAAACACAGAGTATGGTTCAGGTTTAACTTTAATCGGAAGTATTTCCTTTCAAACAGTTCCCTTGGATGCTGAACATGGAACCCTACACAGTTTCTGGAATGGCTCGCCAAGATTCTTCTTCAGAAGTTGGTGACAACGGACGCACTGTAGATCAGGGGGGTTCTGGTTCCCCACGGAAGAAAGTGGCTCCTACAGAAAACTATGAACTGGTTGGCGTAATTGTGCACAGTGGGCAGGCCCATGCAGGACACTACTATTCTTTCATCAAAGACAGAAGGTAATCAGAAATTTAAGTCTGCACATGGATTCACATCATGAGCGACACTGTACTAGTTTTTATTGATTTGCTTGGGTACTCTAAAAAAGTAAGGTGTGAGGTGTTGGACCTATGGGATTCATTTACAGACAAATGGATCATTTTATATAGTACTACTACAACTCTTTATAAAATGGTTTGTTCTTTGGTTAGGTAGCTAGTGGTTCTCAGTTTACAGATATGAGCACAGGTGAAAAGATTGCCCTGGACTGCCAATGGTATTCCGTATTTTACGGTTCCCATTCATTAGATTCATATTTCCTTTCAGAATAGCTTTTGATTCAAGAAAGGCAGATTCTATCACATCCTTGTTTACATTGCTCAAAGATGAGTATTGTTGCTGATCTTGTCAAGCTAGCCTATCCACATTCCACATAACTTGAGGTGGGGGCAGATGGGCATAGGAGAGCCCTAAAACAGCCAATTGTTGCATGATGATACTCAGTGGCCATGAACTAAGAACTGATAGCTGGGGAGAAACAGAAGGGAGTGGAATGGAGCAGTATGGATAGGAGTATTTCAACTGTTTCATACAGAGGATCAAGTGGACTGATGTAATAGTGGTGTTTGGAGCATAATTGGAACTCTTAACTTAATGCAAACCAAGATTATTGTGCCAAAGCTATTGTACATTTGGGGTGGTGGGGAGGAATACTCGATTTTGATATTTGTTCAGAGAGCATTGAATGTGTTTGCCATATCACGATGCTTTCAATTCATTTGATCTTGGAGATATTTTATTTAACATCTGATTTTAGTATGTGATCATTCTTACTGCTTATCTTCTCGGTAATCGTCATGAGAATTAGAAAGGTATGAAGAATCTTGTTTGAGATTTTGGCGTCATTGACAGTGAACATGGCCTCTCTTTCTCTGTGTTACACAGGGGTTGTGGGAAAGGGAAATGGTACAAATTTAATGACACGGTTGTTGAAGAATTTGAGCTAAATGATGAAACTTTGGAGTATGAATGCTTTGGTGGAGAATATAGACCAAAGGTTTATGATCAATGTAAGTATAAAGTTCAATTTTAATTATAAAGTTCCTGGTTAGTGGATTGATAGTACAGTCCTGTTCATGTTTACTCAAGGACAGTCTCACTGTAGTTTTGTGGAGGTTATTCCTGGATAATGGGTACAGGAATACAGTCTAAACTTCAGACTTTGCCTTGCATGCTTTCCTCACCTCTTGTGGAAAGTGGGTAGGAAAGGCAAATCCATTAGTGCTCTAGTTTGTTTTGATCTAGTTCTTGTATTTCTGTAGAAGTTGGAAAATACAATAAAAATAGAGCATAAACTTGAAGCTTAAATAAATGGTTCTCAGCTTTGTGTTTAGAATTTCATCCGCCACTGTGGCAATTATTTATAATGTAACATGCATCTCCAAAACTGCGATTGAATAAAGTTATCAATGTGGCTTCTTCAGTATGAATCTTGAAGCAATAAAATCCTGGAATATCTGATGTACAAATGAAATCTGAGCAACAGGCCTGATGTCCTGTTCTCTCTCTCTCTCTCTCTCTCTCTCACACACACACACACACACACACAGAGAGAGAGAGAGAGACAGACAGACAGACAGACAGACAGACAGACACACAGAGAGAGAGGGAGAGAGAGAAGATATTACTGCATAGGAAACAATCACCTAAATCCAGTTGTTAGTCCTATAGAATTTAAATATGTTGACCTACAAGTTATCATTGACTTGGTAAGTCTGCTATAGTTGGGGCTAACATTTGGATTCAAATCAATGTGGAATGTATGAGAGAAAGACAGAGGGAGAGGAGTGTTTAGTCTGCTGCTAAGCACATTAACTTTCCATGTTATAATGCACCCTGTATGGATTCATGCACATACTGCACTGTTTTCTGCATAGAGCTGCTTTTCATAAAAGGGGAAAAATGTATGAAGTGATTGAGAGAAATACACACTCTGCATCTGGAACACAAAATCTTGAGAAACTTTGTTTTGTCAGCAGCAAGTGTTATGTGCTAAATGACTTTCTTCATTCTTTGTTGGCTCTGTTAATTAATAGTCATTTCTCCATGCCATATTGCATTTGATGCATTTGCTTTGGCAACTGCCTGTCTATTCTCTAGAGTTGGGAATTGAGTGTCTCAACCATAAGGGCTTCTTTGAATATCTCTTTATTACAGCAAATCCATATCCTGATGTTCGCCGCCGATATTGGAATGCCTACATGCTCTTCTATCAGAGAGTCTCGGATCAAAACTCCCCAGTCTTGCCAAAGAAAAGCCGAGTCAGTGTTGTGCGTCAGGAAGCAGAAGATCTCTCCTTGTATGTCTTTCTTGTCTGTAGTACCAGGAACTTGGTTCATGTACAAAAGGGAAAAAATGTTCTTCTCACATAATCTTTCATTTGAAGCTATTTAATCAAAATTGTTTCCATGGAGGAGCTCTGGAGGATGTATTATTTTCTGTTGGGTGAAATTCTTTTGAGGCTATAATTTGATTATGCATAAGCTCAGAATAACTTCCAAAGTTTGTGGATAAACAGAACAGAAGTGAGTCTGGGAGGTGAGTCCTATACAGACTAAAAAGATGATACAGTTTGCTGTATCGACACTTAGAAGGTATTACCTTGAAACCATTGGATATCTCTCCTGAGGATCAGACACATACCTCTTGAAACCCCCCATCTCCATGTCTTTTTAATGCTCAAAATACTTTTAGATACAGCTGCTGGAATCCTGTTGCTTGGCACAGTAAGTTACACCAGAGTAGCTCTGTTGAATAATTGGTGAGTCAGCACTTCCATAAATAAAATCCGTTGATTAAAATGGGCCTACTCTAGTTTTGACTTTGATTCAAAAGTGCCTACTCTAGTTGTGACTTATTTATGGAAGAGTTGACTCGCCAGATTTCCCACTAATTCAGTGGGCCTACTGCAGTGCAGCATACTATGCTAAACAAAGGATTTCAGCCATTTTGATTTAATATGAATTTCTGACTAAATGCAATACATGAAAATTGGGGAAACTGTTTTGACGAAGCAGACTGGATATTATACTCTAAACATTTAGCTTGCTTGGGGGTTTTTTTCAGGTCTGCTCCATCTTCACCAGACATTTCACCACAGTCATCACCACGACCTCACAGACCCAATAGTGATCGTCTGTCCATCTTGACCAAATTGGTCAAAAAGGGAGAGAAAAAAGGCTTATTTGTAGAGAAAATGCCAGTCCGGATATATCAGGTAAACAGTACTAATGGCAGCTGGATATGTTGTGGAAATAATTGGATTCTGACATGTTCTTTAATTATTTAATAGATTGAGAGAGAGATATATAGGCTTTGCTTTAAGAGAGTGCCGTAATCAGCTTTTGACTATTAGCAATCAATATTTAAATCTTTGGGCTAGACACTGAAGAATTCAATAGGGATTCGGTCTCAAAACAACATTGCCATCATCCTTTTAACAATGAAGGCACTAAATAAATAGGAATCTTGCATTACATACCTAGAGAGAATAAAATGTCAAGTTGCAAAAACCAGAGGAATCAAGGTGCAAAATCCAGAGGCTGACATACACTGTATATTGATAGATGTTTTACAAACTGATACAGAAGCAAATGGTGGAGAAATATGAAAGATTATAGTTTTTATTGGGTGAGAATAAAGGAATATTGTATTTGCGAAAGGAATATTGGCTCAACAGTGAAATATGTTTGAAAGAACTGTGAGATTGAAACATACCATTGCTTAATCAGTGTTGAAAGATGTTTCCAGAAAATAATTTCTCTAACACTTTTGACATTTTGTAATATTCCCTGAGCTTGCATAACTGGAATTTACAGAGTATCATAAGCAGATCTGCAGTTGCACAATGGGACTGAACTCTTCTTTTCCTTTCCCTGTGCAGTCAATAAAGTCCGTATGTTCTCTGCGGCTTCAACACACTGAGCTGCTTTCACTGAGCATGTCTTTGTAACTAGATTAACTTGATGGCAATTGCAGCTAAATTTGGACTCCCTAATATTTCAGACCGCTTGAGATATATGTTGCTTCTAATAAATGCTCAAACACTGTTTTTTGGTATTATATTTTGAAGAGCTGTATATTATGTAACATCTTGGGTTTAGAGTTTTAAAGGACATTCTTAATTTATTACTAAAACCTGTGGTATATTGTCTCTGTAGATGGTGAGGGATGAAAATCTGAAGTTTATGAAGAACAGAGATGTCTACAGCAGTGATTATTTTAGTTTTGTTTTGTCGCTGGCATCCTTAAATGCTGTGAGTAGTGGATTTAAACTTTAATGACAAGCAACTTTGAAATAATAGCCAGAATCCTGTTCATTTGTGTGTAAGGTTTGCATAACTTGCCATGGTTAAGGACAACTAATGAACAGGATGCCAAGACACATCTTGGTTACATGCCTGGCAGTGAAACTGATTCAGCAGCCAAGATGCACCCTGGCACCTTGTCAGGTAGTTACAAATAGTCACAGCAGGTTATGCAAACCTTGTGTGAATAACAACTGGATTCTGGCCAATGGTTTTCAATACCCAACAGCAAGGTCTATCTTAAAAACAAATACATTGTTTATATATCACCCTGTGGCATCATTAATTATGAACATTAATAAAACATATCCCCCATGGCGTGAGCAGTGTACAATCTTCCAATTATCCCCTGCCTCTTGTACTTGCTGGGGCTGATGAGAGTTGCAATCCCGCAACAGTAGAGATCCTTTGCCAAGTTCTAGCCTAAATCAAAAATATCTGAGCAATCTAGCTGTAAGCCACAGAGGAATATTGGGTCCTGAGAAAGGAAACATTCTTTAGCCACCATCATTTCTAATGCCGAAAAGCTATATTTTTGTGCTGAGGCAGGTTCCTCTTCCTCTGCCTGAACTGAAAAGACAATTTAACAAAGTTTTTAAAAAGTGCTTGCTGGATTGTTACAAGAACGCAGTAGAAAGGAACTGTGCTCTTCCATGCTTAGCACAAACAAATTCAGCAGAAGAAGGAAATTCACCATACATTTGGCTAGGCTTGTTGAGAAGCCCAGGAAAATTCTCAGTTTTGAAAATAGTTTTGATCCCATACCAGTTCCTGCCTGAGAATTAATATTTTAAAAAAACTGGTGAAATACATGTTCTCTTTCTCTCAGACAAAATTGAAGCACCCCCATTACCCATCTATGGCAAGAGTGAGCTTACAGCTGGCAATCCAGTTCCTCTTCCAAACTTATCTGCGAACCAAGAAAAAACTCAGGTAATGTTTCCTTTATGGGAGCTTTCATAAGGACAGTAGGTACATATCATGTATTATGGTCTTGCTGACACTGCTGCATTTGCTTTGTTTAAGGGTTGACACAGAAGAGTGGATTGCAACCATTGATGCTTTGGTTTCAAAAAGTTTTGATGCTTGTCAATGGCTGGTTGAATACCTAGTTGAGGCAGAAGGGCGAGAGCTCATAAAGTAAGTATGAATATATGTGCTCAAGTCTGAATTTATTACAGGAAGTATCATCTTTTTTTGTTATTTATATACCACCCCATTAGTGTACAGCATTGTTCTAGGCAATGTACATATAAAACAATAAAATGATATGATAGAAACTAAATAAAACAGCCAGTTCCAACCGATAGTCCCTCTAAGTTTCTGTCCCACTGCGTGGGAGCCTTGCTGCATGTGCACAGGGGTGGGCAAGGCTGCATTCAAAATGGGACGTAAACAAAGTGGCTGCTTATGCACATCCCCAACAGAGCTCAGGGCAAGCACACATATGTATAGCTTAGAGAAACATTGGTCCCAACAAAAAAGAAACCAACATTAAATAAAACTTAGTGGCTCCATGGAATAGCATGTAAAGGCAAATGGCGTCGGTAGAGACTGCCTTCAAAGGCCTTTTGAAAAACATGTTTTCCATGGCCTCTTAAAACTGGGGAGGGAGGGAGCTAGGCAAAGTTCATCTAGGAGGTGATTCCAGGGCATGGTGCAACACCAAGAAGGATTTGACCTCTTGTGGAAGACTTTTTGGCTTCCTTAGGCATAGCTTCCCAGAGGAGCATAGACTGGGAGGATCTGGTAGTGTGAAAACAGATGAGGAGAGATGCTCCAACACATAACACCACAAACCATGGAGGGCTTTGTAAATAAGTATCAAGACCTTGAACTTGATCCAAGCTGCAACCAATAACCAGTATAGACAAACCAAGACTGGGGGAGATGTGCTCAAATGCTCACACTTGCCACCAGCCTGGTAGCCACATTCTAAATCCACTGCAATCTCTGGGTCTGTCTCGAGGGAAACCCCACACAGAGCTGGTGGTCGCATTATAAATCCACTGCAATTTCCAGGTCAATCTCAAGGGAAGCCTCACATAGAGACCATTATAGTAATAATATTTGTCTAATCTAGATGAGGCAAAACTGAGTGATGAGCCTCTGTTGGTTGAAGGTTGACCTGGACACAGCTGCTACCTGGGTATCCCAGGACAGGGCCACATTCAGGAGAATGCCTAGATTACAGGAGGTTGGCACCATTCAACCTAGGGATGATACCCCTAACTTGTCAGAGGGACACCCCCACCCCCACCGGGAGGATGATCTCCATCTTATACAGGTTCATCTTGAGCCTGTTCTCCCTGGTCCATTACAACACATATAATTCCCTTACTTCCAGTTCACATCTTCTTGTGCAGTAGTATATGAAGCAGCCTGCCCAAGCACCAGGAGGATGATCTCCGTTGTATACAGGTTCATCTTGAGCCTGTTCTCCCTGGTCCATTACAACACATATAATTCCCTTACTTCCAGTTCACATCTTCTTGTGCAGTAATATATGAAGCAGCCTGCCCATGCACCAGAGCAAGTGTTAATCTCATGGCTTGCAGGTACCCCCAAAGTCTTCAGGAAGAAACAACCCAAGCAAGTGGGAGAGGATCTAAAATAGCCCCATAACAGCTAAATGATACAGAATGCTGAGTGACTGGAAAAGATGTGGCAGCTAAGTGGTAGGACAAGGAACCAGATATCTGTAGCCAGAGGAAGAGATACTTAAGTCTTTAAAAGGTACACCTATCTTGTAGGTTTCCAGATTCATACTGAGCAGGAATTTTGGGACATCCTTCAAGTATGGAAATAAGAGCTGTCCCTGTATAACAGGGGAGAAATTGAGGACTCTGACCAAACTAGGATTGCTGCCTCACCCACCAACCCCACCAGACAAACTGGGAGGGGGTGGGGAGAGGAATCAGAATGGATTTTTAAAAAATAGCCAAAACAGCCTAGTGATGATTAGGCTTACCCAGTGGGCAAGTGATCTTGCTACATGCTGTCAGGTTGCCTGCGATTTCTGGTGACTCTATGAATGAGAAATATCCAAAATGTTGTGTCTTCAACAGCCCTGCTCAGTTCTTATAATCTCAACCCTGTGGCTCCTTTAGGGAGCCAGTCCATCTCATTTTTGGTCTTCCTCTTTTTCCTGCTGCCTTTCACCTTTCCCAGCATTATTGTCATTTTCAGAGAATCCTGCTTTCTCATGATGAACCCCCAAGTAGTATAGCTTCAGTTTCAACATTTTTGTCTCCAGATATATTTCTAGCTTGATTTAATCTGTTCATCTTTCCTGCAGTCCAGGGTATATGCAAAACTCTTCTCCAGCAACATATTTCAAACAAATCCATTTTTTTTCCCAGTTGGTTTTCTTCCAAGCAAGGGGTGGTGACTCACTTTTGGATTAGCAAAATAGGGGAAGTGGGAAACAGAGCAGTTGAAACCATGACTTACTATGTAGCTCACTTCTGCTGAATTTGTAACTCTACCCTTTGATCTCAAACTCAGTGTTTCATTATTCATTTTGCATGTAGAATTTAATTAGCCTTAGCAGCCTGCATCCAGATAGTCCGTAGTGCCTATTTGACATGTTGAGTCTGATGACAAAAAAAGATGAATTGCAGCTCCTGGAAGCCTCCAGAAGCACCAGTTCACTTTTTAAACCAGTCACAGCCCCATCCTTGCATCATTTAACACCAAGAAATTTAATAACCGCTTCTGGGGTTTTTGGTGTGTTTGGGGGGGACATTTGGGGACAGTGTGATCCCAAAAGGTCCGTAAAGCACAGGAAGGAGAGAGAGAGAGAGAGAGAGAGAGAGAGATGATATTTTGGTGTTCTCACAGAAGTCATTTGAAAATGGTGAAATTATTTGCAGAGTGACTCACACTAAACAAAACTATTCTAACGTTCTGGTAAAAAAAAAATTGGTAATAAAGCTACCCAACTGAAGACATGATTAGGAAATATGGCCTTAGCTGGTATCCTCATATTTCCCAACCTGCTCACCAGTGTTTGTGTGCTAATCAGTCTGTTAATGTTATATATGTTACCCAAACATATTCCCATTTGGGAATTAAAACCATGCACATTTCAAAATCTTGTTTTAAGAAAAATGTTCAGTGTCTGTCAAGTATCAGGTTACTGGAAACCCTTGGAATTGTGTTGGTGTTCAAGCACAATATATACAATATTGAGAGACAGATCAGTTCAGAGCATTTTGGATTTGCTGGCAGTAGTTTTAAATATAGTACAGGATGTGTGTATACAAATCTTCTGAAATCCATTAAAGGAAGAGTAAGTGAGTGTGTAGGCACAAATCTGCTCCAGATGACAAGCTCTGGCACACAGAATGAGTTCTAAGTGGAAAGCATATCTACATTGCTTCAGGCAATCAATTATTGCTTCTTTTTAATCTATCTGTTTTGTTATGCTACTAAATCCACTAATTTAGGAACTGCTGTCAGACACATATAGATACCGTTTACATTCTATAAGGTATCTTCAGTTTAGCGCTTAAGTGACCATATCCAGTCTTTCTATTGTCAAAGAAGTGTAAATATTGGATTTCACAGTAAGAAAAAGAGCACAGATTGAAGATTTAAAGTAGCACATGAAAGAGATGGGTTCTCTCTTGCATCTTCTATTTTAATGCATGTATGTGTTATAGGATTTTCCTGCTGGAATGCAGTGTGAGAGAAGTCCGAGTTGCCGTAGCTACCATTCTTGAAAAAACCCTGGACAGTGCCTTGTTTTATCAGGAAAAGGTTAGTAATATGTATTGATTGCTAGATTATGAATGTTGTTGTACTCCTGAAGAGAGGATGCTGCTGTCTCATGCGTAAGTAGTATACTTTTAATCCTTGCTCTTCTGACTTAACCACTCTGAGTCCAGTATTGTCATATAATCCTTCTGGTGTTTTTTGTTCTTATAGCTACAGAGATGCACTTGAGAATTTGTGTGACATGCCTGATAAAGTCAAGGAAGGAGGAATACTGCCTGTTTAACATAAAGCTTTGGAAACTTTATGCTACAGTTTCCAAAAAATGAGGTTGGGCAGCTAAAACTGTGCCAAGCCTATCTGTTTGTTGTCCTACTTAATTGCTGAGCCATTGGTCAACATTGAATGTGTTCCCAGTCCTAACATTATATGTGTTGGGACACATGTGAATAAGGTTTTTTTTTGTTCTGAAGGCACATTTGATCTCTGAGATGTTCTGCAGAGAACTGTTCAGTGAGGTATTAAGAAGGCAACAACAGACAGTATTAAACTATCTGACTGGTGTTGTTGTAAGCATACTTTATGGAAAATTCATTCTTTGCTAAATTTCAAAGTAGGTATATAACTATGTTAATTTGTTGGTGGAAATGCAAGCAAGAATTGTGTGATGTTTTCCAGGTTTTTGGAAAATGCTGCTTTTCAGGGAGGGCTTCTACACTGGCCCTGCCTGATTTTACTCCTGTTATCCTGTTGTCTCATTGAGTGCCTTTGGTGCCACTTGTTTTATCCCATCTGATGTTTTCATTTCTTATTATTTGTTTGTAGTCTGTTAGTATAAGTTTTATTTATTGTTATAAACTGGCCAGAGCAGTGCATCTCACTGATGGGGCAGTAAAAAAATAAATATTTTAAAGACTAACAAGTTTTATTTGGTGTAAGCTTTTATGAATGTGTCTGGTGAATTGACTGCCAAATAAAATTTATTAATCCTGAAGTTGCCGCAAGACTCATAAAAATTCTTCCCTGTTACTTTTTTAATAAGTTGTCAAATCGCAAAGGTAATACGCCCACCATATCATCCTGAACATGCCTGATCTTGTCTGATTTCAAGAAGTCAATGTCAGGTTTTGTTACTGCATCAATGGAGGACCACCAGTGATCTCTGGGTGAGACTATGAAATAAATCCTGTCTAGAGATGAGCATGAACCTCCACTTTGGCAGTTTGTAGTTATTTGTTCTTCCGATGCACAGGTGTTCCGCATTGGAACACCTGTGCATCACCTCCAGCAGTTGCCCACTCAGTGGGAAGCTGGGGTGCCCGCAGAATACCAGTGTGTTCTAAGAATGAATCATTAGGAACCGCCAAACTGGCAGTTTGTGCCCATCTCTAATCCTGTCTGACTCCCCAGAAAGCTGCTGCCAGTCACACTTGACAATATTGGCCTAGACAGATAAAGGGTCTAATTCTGCATAAGGCAACTTCCTTTGCTCCTGTGGACTGGGTTGGATGATCATTCAGTGTCCTTTAATGGAAAAAAAGCCATCATGATAGTATAAGGTCTCCTTCACTTCTGATTCCACACAGTTGAAAGGTCTGCATCAATTAGTGGAGGTTGTTCTTGGACTCCTGGACAAAGATGTGCCTGAGAACTGCAAAAACTGCGCCCAGTACTTCTTATTGTTCAACAATTTTGTACAAAAGGTAAACCAAATACTTGTTCACCCATTTATCTCTGTTTTTATTATAAAAAATCTTTTAAAATCCTAGAACTAGGATGTGGAATACTGCAGCATTATTATTTGAAAAAATCACTGTTGTTTTTGTTTTTAAATCTGCATGGAATAAAGTGGGCTTGGATCCAACTCTGCTGTTTCCTGAGTGAAGAGGTTCTATGACTCAGAGAACAGTAGCTTCAATTTAATAGAAGTTCACTCAAATACATAATTGTTCTGTTTGTGCAAGCACTTATGCAACCATTTCATTGTCATCTGGTTATTTGTTTCTTGCTTCAGTTTTATTTTAGTTCATTTCTTTCTATGCTTTTCTCAGTGAATTGACCCAAGAAACTACAAACATATTGATAACAGAGCTGAAAACACAATAAATAATAATAATAGAATATAATAAGACATTGTCATTGTCATTATTAGACCACTGACTTAAAACTGTTGATGATGCTTTAAAAACACACCAGAAAAGAATAAGAAGCGAAGCATCACCCCCATTTCTCAGCAGCTTCTTGAGTTGCCAAAAGCTTGCTTGCAGAGAAAGGCCTTTGCTTGCCAGCAGAAGGGTATCAGGGGAAGGATCTTGTCAGGACAGGGATTCTGACACTAACAGAATATTATAGACCTCCAGGGAAAAATCAGAAGCCTGTGTTTGTGACAGCTTGCATTTATCCCAGTTAACTGAATTCCGGAATGAAACCAGACAAACATTTCCAGCCGTATCTGATTATCATGGTGTAAATCTTTTCATTGTTGCAATAATTCTAGGCAATTTCAGCTTGTCTAATTCTACAAGTTTTATTTATCTGCATTGCTCCTGTGTTCCATAAGCACAAAAACAATAGTTTGAAAACATCCAGAACTATTGTTTGGGGCTTTACAGGTCCTGATCAGTTCTTTGAACTGGCCACTGCTGAAACCCAAGTGTCTAAGCTCAGGGCTGAATGCAGGAGGACATCTAGACTGTGAATCTGAGTTCTCAAGGAGTGTGCAGTTCTGTCTAACATCAGCTGAAGGATCTCTGTTACCTGATGTGCCCTTTGACTAACCAGGAGCCACTTTCTATTCAGAATTAAGCATCAACTTGTTCGTCATTATTCAGCCTTTTCTTGGCATCAGTCACTGGTTTTGAACCAAAACTGGTTCCTTGGAGTTAAATGAAAATGAGAAGTAGGGTTGACTATCATGCACATGTTGGGGCAGCAAAGAATCTTTCACAGAAGTTTCATGTCTCTGTTAAGTAACATGGGGCAGAACTGAACCCTGGGAGACTCCAAAGGCCAGAGTGCCAACGAGGAGCCCCACCATCAGTCTTCCAGCTTGCCCCTTCAGAAAGGACAGGAACCACTGCAAATCAGTGTCTCTGTGTCACATCCTAGGGGGGCAGTTCCAAAAGGTACCATGATTGAAAACTGCTGAGAGGTCTAGAAGAGCCAAGGGGGCATGCCTCTCCTTCATCCAGTTCTTAGTCGTGGTTAACTATTAAGGCAACGAAAGCCATCCTTGTTCTATAACCAGTGTTGAGATTTATGTCAGTGATCCATTTTATCCATAAGCTTCTGAAACAGGGAAGCCAAATAGCTTGCCAAACAATAGAACAGTGGAGACTCTTCAGCATGGTGTGGTTCAGGGAGGGTGGAGTACATTTATATTCAACTTCTCTAGATCAGTGGTCCCCAACCTTGGGCCTCCAGATGTTCTTGGACTTCAACTCCCAGAAATCCTGGCCAGCAGAGATGGTGGTGAAGGCTTCTGGGAGCTGTAGTCCAAGAACATCTGGAGGCCCAAGGTTGAGGATCACTGCTCTAGATCATATTCAAAGTATCATAAAACCAATAAATCAATGTTTATATATATCAAAAACAAATTTGTAAATTTAGTAAACAAAATTCATAAAATAGTACACATCTCTGCCCCTGGCAAAAGGAGGCCCCTGGGGATCCCTTAAAGGAAGCTTTTTATTGCCATGAAATGATTATGGCTGATGACGTCCTTATAGTGCAGTGTAAAATTGTGCAACAGGATTTCAGACATTGCATTCTAATTTGTTACTATTGCTCAAACCAATATTATACATATAGGCTACATTGTAAACCAACAGAGGAGAAAACATGAGGAAAAAAGATTAGGTGATAAATCACAGCACACTGTGATGCAAGAAGCCATTCAAAACATTAGAAATCTGTACACTTGATTTTAGTGAGGTTTGGTTTTGCAAATGGTTTTGTGTCAAATGTCAGAAGAATCATAATGAATTTTAATCTAAAATGCACAATTTAATCTCTTAAAGCATGTTTTGTACACGTAAGGTTATCTGTCTTGTGCTTATATTTTCACAGCAGGGTATAAGAGCTTGTGATCTCCTCCTCAGGCATTCTGCCTTGAGGTATATGATTAACTTCCTTCTTGGTCCCAATCGGCAGAATAATCAGGTAATGTATGTGTGTATCATGTGGCAGTCTTAGTAGAACATGCTAAGCTCTTTCTAAAACCTACTGTTTGGGTTTAAAGCCATCTTTTAGACATCCACACTGTTTGGCCCTTCCACCCAAACATCATGAGAAATGGCAGCTTTCTCTGCTTGTCTTCTCGTAACAAGATGCCTAAGACGGCACCTCTCTCTAGCTGTTTCTCCTCAGTCTGCCAGGAAAAAAAATAATTTCAAATAACAATGAGAATAATAGACCTGAAAACTTTAGCAGTTATCCAAAGCAGGCTTCTTTATTTAAGATGTTCACAAATGGCTCTACTTCTGGGCAAAGGCATCATTCCCCTGCCCTCCAAAAATCACAGGGCCTTGTCATAACTTGTGTTAACCATTTGTTCTTCACATGGACATCTGGATATCTCTGATTAGGTTACAACATTTACAGACTAGAATTTTCCAACTTACGTTGCAAATGTTTTAGCTCTAAATAGCCAATAGCCCTGGAACCAGAGCAGTACCAAAGATGTGGCCTGCCTCACTTTTAGCTACCTGTCATATAACCCTCAAGCATGCTAATTCAGTGAAACAGAGTTTAGTTATATTAAAGAATGAGTTCTGAGCTAGCTGCATCCACTATTAAGCTCTCTTTTGAAATACTTTGAATTACTGAGACCAAATTTCTTATAGAAGGCTTTCTCGCCTCCTGAACTAATTAAACATAAATAGTTTGCAACACAATCCAGCACAAGGTTCAGTCATCATCATCTTAGAATGGCAGACCTGGAAGGGACCCTATGAATCATCAAGTCTAGCCCCTATCGAGGCACAGTGGGGAATCGATCCCCCAACCTCTGGCTCCTCAGCCACATGCCCCTGAGCTATCCATCAGTTCTTTGTGTTCCAAGCTGCTGCCACACTATGAAACCTTGTCTATCAACTGATCCTTCTCCTTCTTTTCGGAAGACTGATACCTTTTTGAGGCTAGCGGACAGCACTTCATATGGCATTAGATAGATTGCTTCTTCTGTGTTTCCCTGGGGAGAACTGCTCCTTGCTTTAGACAAGCAAACATGCCTGGTGTTAAGCTTTGCCCTTTGCAAAAAAAAAAAAAAAGAAAGAAAAAAATCCCTCTGAAAACATATTTCCTGAATTGTACTGTTGTACTTGTTGGGCCCAGTATTTGCTAGCTGATTTTCCCAAGTCTGAAAAAAAATAGACATTAATTATTTGAACATGTTGCTCTTTCAATAGAATTTATACTTTTAAACTATTTTTTTAAAAAATCTCTGCTAAAACAGAACCGCAGGTGGAGTTCAGCACAAGCACGGGAGTTTGGATTCCTCCATAATATAGTTGCACTGCTTGTCTTGCACTCTGATGTCTCCTCACAGAGAAATGTAGGTAAGTATTCTCGGTTTTACTTCACTGACCACTCTAGACGGCTGTTGTTAATAGAGCTTAGTTTCTTTATCTGGAGAAAAGACATTAAGCTGGAGAAATGTGTGCATCCTTGTTTTCAATGGTCTGCATTCAGTTTGAGCTATTGAGACCAGTTGTTTCTGGGCATTGTACATTTGGGTGCTGTCTTTTTTATTTTCTTTTTAGCTCCTGGTCTGTTTGTTCTGCGTTCACCCCTTAACATTGCCAGCTCGGGGCCACTTCTGGCACTCCATGAAGAAGTGGAAGCTTTGTTGTTCCTGTCTGAGGGGAAACCTTATTTAATGGAGGTATTGTCGATTTGTACTTGATGCTTTATTATGATTGAGTTGGACATAGATGTAGAAAGATCTCTGAAAACAACCTCGCAAACTGTGTTGCAGTCTTCTGTGTCATAAGGATATGTAAGTTAAGAAGTACCAGACAAGAGCATTGTGAAATGGCTGTGCCTTAGTACAGTCCTCTTGACAGAGTCTATTTGATAAGATATTGAGATAAAATCTATTACCGTATCCATGACAAAAGTAGTTCTGGGTATTGCTGCAGTCCTCTTGACAGAGTCTATTTGATAAGGAAGATATTGAGATAAAATCTATTACCATATCCATGACGAAAGTAGTTCTGGGTATTGCTCTTGTTGCTGGTGTGGGTGGGTGTTTCCAGAAAATCCCTACTATTTTGACCTTTCTGTCTCCTCATTAGGTGATGCATGCGTTGAGAGAGCTAACTGGATCACTGTCGATCCTTATTGAGATGGTGGTGTACTGCTGCTTTTGTAATGAGCACTTTTCCTTTACCATCCTACATTTCATCAAGGTAAGGAGAAGCCAGTAAACTTTCAAAGCACTCTGGCTGGGGTATTGGTGTGTGGATATCTAACAGTAGTTAACATCATGCAATGCACAATCTAGTTGTTCATTGTGTAATCTGTAGGTAGATTCTGATTCTCATCTCTGATGTAGTCTGAGGACTTTGACTTGATTGCAGATGATTGCAACATGTGGCTCCCAGAAAACTCATGGTGAGCACATGATCCCAACATTCATTATTGTTGCATTTGCAGACACTTCTATGTAATATCACTGTGTACACAGCACATATGTTCAGTTTCACATTGGAATGGTGGCTTTTTAGTTTTTGATTCCTGACAGGGTTCAAAAATGAGCAGTACTTCCTGAAGCCTGAAGCACCCATCAAAATAACAGGAAAAAGGAGTTTTCAGGAGGCAGGTGATCTGTCTAAGAGCTTCTTTACTTCCTAAACATTTCCCTGACTTCTCCCATGGCTGTAGCTGTCTATCCTCAGAGATGCTAATTTGATGTAGAACTCTTCAGGGGAAAAATCCACAAATAAAGAATTCTGCCCACTGAATGATACACTAACTTTATTAAAACGTTCTCCATAACTACTACACAACTTTCACCCTGTATTTATCTTTGGCTTACAGAATCAGCTGGAAACGGCTCCACCTCATGAATTGAAAAATACCTTCCAGCTTCTTCATGAGATACTGGTAAGTGGAGAGATCTTAATGCCAACAATTCTTTTCTGTTTGCTCTCTGCCCATCACACAGACACGGTGGAGCATTAGAGTATACATGACAATGTCAGGAGCAAAACACGTAGCTCTATCTTCTAAAAAGTTAGTTTGTATATACCGTTCACGTTGTGGTCTTCAGGTTATTAGCTCATAGTCCTTGTGTGTAAATAATGTCACTTAGTAATATTATTCATCTTGCTCACTGTCAGCCATGGGTGTAATCCTATAAAAGGTGATCTGTTTTCATTTCACTTGCTTTCAGACAGGAAACCAACATTGCTTAATTTTTCTGTTGAATTTCAGTGCAAGTGATTAAAATGTTAAATTTTATGCTTGTTTGTAACATCTTTATAAGCTTGTAAAAATGGTTAGGTTCAGCATAAATACTAAAAAAGTGAGCCAAAGGACTACACAGAGTATTTTGTTAAAATATTATCTCTAGTTTGCACTGAAAACTGAAACTTCATCATGATGTCACAATAATGTATTATCTCTAATGTTTTTATTCAGACTTTAACTTACTGCACTTTTAGTTGTAACTATTAAATGGCGTTGTAAAAGCTGCCTTGGGTCCCAGTACTGGAAGGAAGATAGGATGTAAAGTAAATAAATTATCACATTTGCTCCTCTTTGGTATCATATCACATAGTAATAACATCTGTGAAACTAGAACCTATAAATGTAAGAGATTATATCCTGTCAGTATAATAAAGTATTTCTGTTCTCTTGCATAGATTATTGAAGATCCTGTACAAATGGAACGGCTTAAGTTTGCATTTGAGACTGAAAATGGATTGCTAGGTTGGTAAATATGCTTGAAGAATTTGTGAAAAGAATCCAAACTGTCATGTAGTTAGTTGAGCACACATGAAGAGGCTGCGGTCTACAGTTGGCTGCAAAATCACTGGAAAATGGAGGAAAGATTCAAGAGCAGTGTATTCACAAAGGCTTTCACGGCTGGGATCTAATGGTTGTTGTGGGTTTTTCGGGCTCTTTGGCCATGTTCTGAAGGTTGTTCTTCCTAATGTTTCACCAGTCTCTGTGGCCGGCATCTTCAGAGACTCTCTCTCTCTCTCTCTCTCTCTCTCTCTCTCTGTGTGTGTGTGTGTTTGTGTGTGTGTGTGTGTGAGAGAGAGAGAGAGAGAAGTGAGATAACAATGCCACCACCCAGTGAGTTTCCATCGCCAAGCAGGGATTTGAATGTATATCTCTTGTAGTCTTAGTCTATCACTTTGTCCTCTATACTAGCGGTCCCCAGCCTTGGGCCTCCATATGTTCTTGGACTACAACTCCCTGAAGCCTTCACCACCTTTGCTGGGAGTTGAAGTCCAAGAACATCTCCAGGCCCAAGGTTGGGGACCACTGCTCTATATCACACTGACTCTCCACTGTAAAATGGCTACCTGGACAAAAAAAATGTTTCATTATCTCTTTCTGTATATATGTTCAAATAAAGAATTCAAAAACAAAATTTGATTCATACACTTTTAGGGAGCTGTGTTAATTCATACAGAAACTGAAGTGCTCTTTATTATTTTGGCTACTGCATTCCTAGTAGATTATATTATGAGAGAATACCGTTGAAGTAATAAAATTACATCATATTACCAACAAATTTAATCATCTTTAAATTGTTCTTCAAAACCTGAATTTATTTCATAATTTATTGCATTTTAGTCCCGGCTTCTTTTGGGATTCAATTTCTCAATAAGAATCCAAACTTTTTGTTTGTTTGTTTGTTTCATAAAGTGTGATAAATTGTGAGCTAAACTTAAGATGCCATACCTGGTTAAGAAAGTTCAGCTCTGGCTTGGTATGATGTCTAAAATAAAATAAAAAATCATAGTTGCTGGTTCTGCTGCCCAGGTCTGCTGTACCATGGAAAGGGTAAATTAATGAACATATGGAACTAATTGCTCATTAGATGAAAGGTACAAAAGCAGCCATGTAGTAGTGAACTGTGGTTTGTCTGTCATACTTTTAAAAGCTCAAATTATGATTAAGGTTGTACACTGTAGGTACTATAAATTGTTTTGGCATAATGTCTCAACTGGGACAAGAGAATTTGATCTTCTAGCACCACCAAGCAAACTTTAATTTCAGTTATTAATACTGCTTAATGTTCTTTTTTTAACAGCTCTGATGCACCATAGTAACCATGTGGACAGCAGCCGCTGCTATCAGTGTGTCAAATTCTTAGTCACTCTTGCTCAGAAGTAAGTTTAATTCTCAAAGAAGTCTCTCTCATCATAGTTTAAAAACGCATCCTGTGGCAATGGAATTGCACAAAATAGATCCTCCCCTGAAGACTGCAAGGCACAGTCAGCTTGGCATAGGGAGGGGTAGTCTTTAAAATGAATGGCTCCCAAATTGTTTAGGGCCTTAAAATAAGGGATGGCACTTTGAATTGGACTTGGAACCAAATAAGCAACCCATTTACTTGTTCTTCCTTTTCTACTTGAAAAATTCCACCAGCTGCATCTTGCACTAGTTGAAGCTTCCATGTAGAATACATGGTGGTCATGTCTTAGGAATGGTACCAGGATGTGGATTACCATCACCAATCTCATACCTCTGAAGACTAGTTTCTTTCCAAGTACAAGTGTGGGGAGGAAGTAGTGATTCAAAAAAATGTGATGGGAACAGATGAGAATCAAATCTTCAGGGCACGTTGTTACAGATACAGTTTTGCAGAAGTACACAAGTTACTAATCTACATAAATCTATATACATCTCTATGTACCTAAGTTTAGTTATGTTTGGCTTAAATAAATAGTAGAGGCCTCAGTAGCTGAAAGAAGTCTGTGCTGTGTTTAAGATTGCACTCTGTATATTTCTTCATGGTAAAATCATCCTTGCACTGAAAGTCAGAAAGTAAGCCTTTTGAATAGGCATTCATTTGACTGACTTCTGTCCAGCATAGGATGGATGTTTTTGTAAACTGACTAGGTAATCATGCTTTATTCTTAAATGTTTGGCCTTCCTGGTCTGTATTGGCAGCACAGAAGTAAAGAGAACGGTTACAACTATGTGTTTTCAATATCTTCAGGTACATAGTTCTAATAATTTGCTTTGAATTCCAAAGGTGCTCTGCTGCTAAGGATTATTTCAAAGAGAATTCACATCATTGGAGTTGGGCCGTACAATGGCTTCAAATAAAGGTAACTTGTACTCGTGTTTAAAAAGGGGTCTTCACATGACTGCCTTGCAAATTAATGTCTATCAGGTTCTTCCATGCATTATAGTCTTTATCTGTATAGATACATGTGTGGTATTAAGAAAAGACAGGCCTTACTTGCACTGTATATGGAAGAGAAATAAAAGGTGCACAGCCTAACTTGTCTAGATAGAAAATTTTCTCATCCACCAGCAGTTCCCTACTCTCTTCTCCAACCCATTGAGAAGCAAGAAAGCATAGGTGGACCTCCATAAGTTAAAACGATCTTAAGAATCCAAATCAGTAGCCATCACATTTGAGCTCTGCTGTTATGTTATTTCCATTAATAGATACTTCTACATTTTTCTAGATGTCTGAACATTACTGGGCTCCTCAGAGTAATGTATCCAATGAAACCTCAACCGCCAAAACCTTTCAGCGCACTATTTCTGCACAGGTCAGCCTAAACATGACATTGTTTGTACATGAACCTTCTAAACCACTGTTTAGCTATTACCTTTTTTAAATCAGATGTAATGAAAAGTGCATTATTAAGATCTTTGTTCATTTGTAGAGCTAAACCAATAAATTATTTTATGCTATTGACTATAATGGCAAATAGAAGGGGAAGATATGGAGGCAGTGATAGATTTTACATTCTTGGGCTCCATGATCACTGCAGATGGGAACAGCAACCACAAAATTAAGACGCCTGCTTCTTGGGAGGAATGCAATGACAAACCTAGACAACATCTTAACAAGCAGAGTCATCACCTTGCCAACAAAAGTCTGAATAGTCAAAGCTATGGTTTTTCCTATAGTGATGTACTGTATGGAAGTGAGAGCTGGACCATAAAGAAAGCTGACCGCCGAAGAATTGATGCTTTTGAATTTTTGTGTTGGAGGAGGCTCTTCAGAGTCCCCTGGACGGCAAGGAGAACAAACCTATCCATTTTAAAGGAAATCAAGCCTGAGTGCTCAGTGGAAGGACAGATCCTGAAGCTGAGGCTCCAGTATTTTGGCCATCTCATGAGAAGACTCCCTGGAAAAGACTCTGATGTTGGGGAAGAGTGAAGGCAAGAGGAGAAGGGGATGACAGAGGATGAAATGGTTGGACAGTGTCATCTAAGCTACCAACATGAATATGACTGAACTCTGGGAGGCAGTGGAAGACAGGAGGGCCTGGCGTGCTCTGGTCCATGGGGTCACGAAGAGTCGGATACAACTTAATGACTAAACAACAACATTGACTGTTTTAGGCTGCATTTTCCAATAACTGTATAAAATGTAATATGTGTGTTACTCAGACTATACACATGTATTTATGAAAACATCAGAGTTTCAAATGCATAACATGTCATGATGTGACATACTTTATATTCAAACGAATTTCAGCTAGCTCACTATTTCAGCATTGAAACATGATTGAAAAATGTCATCGCCTTTTTGTTTTGCTTTTTTTGCATTTCAGTTTTTAAAAAACACTGCAGTACATCAGGGCTCACCTATAGATATTAAGATTCCTGTAAGGAGAATCCAACCATTCAGGACTGAGGTATATGTGAGTGGAGCTTTGAACTAGTCCTAAGAAGAGTGTTTGCAGTATTGCAGGATGGGCTTTTCCCCCTCTTAAGCTCAAAGATGACACAAACCTGCTGTGGCATGGTTCTTAATTGCAATATTATTTCCTAGGACACCCTGGCATATGCTACAGCCTTGCTGAACGAGAAAGATCAGTCTGGAAGTAGTAATGGATCTGAGAGCAGTCCAGCCACTGAGAATGGTGGCAGACATCTGCAACAGGTAAACAGAATCATTTTGTTGAGTCCATTACATACATGTGTGATGTAATTGTTTTCTTTCAAGACAAAAGCACAAGAAAAGTGTATTGATTATAAACATTCCTAAACAAACAAGATGTATGCTGTGGGAAAATATTTTTTTCCACAACTGAATAAATAGAAAAATAATTGATTTGAGTTCTGTTTGCCATTTAAAGGGGCAAATTGTAAACAATTTGTTTACATGTCAAATACCAATTCTACAAGCATGTTTTGGCTTGTAAACAAGCTGGGGATACTTTTTCCCATGTCACCGTGACCACCAGGGCAGCAAACTGGATGATGGCATGAGGATACATAGCTGGGGAAGCAAACTCCAACCTCCAAGAAATTGCTTCACCCCTGACTTTAGATGTTAATCTGCTTTGTAATGAAACATGACAGTTTTCCATAGCTTAAAAACATTTCCTTTTATGCATTCAAGATACCCTGAGAGTGTGGCCACTTGACTTGGAGGTATATAGAGAAGCCCATGTAAAAAATAATTCCCCAATGACTTTTAATCCAACTAGCACAAGTGAATTCTTCTGGTTATTGCATTGTAAAGCCGGGATGAGGGAAGGAGTCTTGTGGCGCACTGCTCACAACCCAGGTTTATTCCTAGGTAGCCAGCTTCAGGTTCACTCAGCCTTCCAGCTTTCTGAGGTTGATAAATTGAGTACCCAGCTTGCTGGGGGTATGTGTGTTACCTGCATAATTAAATGGTAAGCTGCCCAAAGAGTGCTTTAAGTACTGTGGGGTGGTATATACCGTATTTTTCTGTGTATAAGATGCCCCCCCAGTTTTCTAACCCAAAATTTCTTTCTTTGCAAAAAGCTGCTTTCCCCCTCGCAAAAAGTGGAGGGGGGAAGCACTTTCCTCTCAAGAAAGTGGAGGGGGGAAGAAGGAATCACTTTCCCCCTCCACTTTTTTTTCAAAAAACTGCTTTCCCCCTCACAAAAAGTGGAGGGGGAAAGCAGCCTTTTGCAAAGAAAATGGAGGGGGAAACCACTTTCCTCTCAAGAAGGTAGAGGGGGAAAGAAGGAATCACTTTCCCCCTCCACTTTCTTGTGAGGAAAGTGCTTTCCCTGTCCACTTTCTTTGCAAAAAGTGAAGGGGGAAAGCAGGGATCAAAGCACTTTGATCCCTCCCCCCTTCCTTACTTCAATTTATAAAACAATCCTCAATTTTTCCTCTGATTATTTTAGGAAAAAGTGTCATTTTATATACATAAAAATATGGTAAGCAATACTTTGTTTTGCTTTTTATCTATAAGCAAAGTAAGACTATTTTGTTGCCTGCTTGCTTACTTTATGGTCCTACAAAAGTACTTCAGCACATGATAACTAGTGCACTGTGATTTATTTTTAAGGTTTTGCTTCCTAAATAGCTATATGTTGTAAGCCACCTAAAGTGGTCGTAACGACCAGATAGGCGGGGTATAAATGAATGAATAAATGAATGAATGAATGAATAAAAATATGGATTCAGTCAAATCCTGTGCCAAAGGAGATGAGCCCAGTAGTGGGAAATTTAATAATGAAATTCACATGGTAGCCAATGAGTTGCCTATGGGAGGCTGACAGCAGAGCATGAGAGCAATGGTATCTTTGCACTTATATTTCCAGTCACTGGTATACTACCCCTGGGTATTAGAGGACAGTGTATGTCCACTGAGTAGCCACTGATAACCTGTCTCTGTGTTTGTTTAATTCCATTTTAAGACTGGCAAAGCTGGTGGACATCTCATGGTAGTGAGTCCTGAAGGTTAAGTAGGTGTTGGGGGAGGGATCTTTGGGGGAGGGATCTTTGTCAGTGTGCCTTCCTGATCTAATTTGTGCTACTACTGAAGTCAGCTTTCCTTTTATAAACTGAGCTGCTGCAAAGTGTAGGCAGTTACTGAAGGAGCCGTTCATTAGGGTGCCTGAAGATCACACCGTTTCCTCTCTTAACTTTGTTTTGCATTTTTGAAAGGGCTCAGTGTCTCCAATGATGATTGGTGAACCTAAAAGTGACCTTGACGATGTGGACCCATAGTGATTGGCTTGTCTGCTGAAGAACAAAGACTTCAACTATAGTGTGGAATACCTGGCACTTTTCAGATATGCTGGAATCCCACTGCTTTTAACTTCAGAACAATCTGAAGAGAAGGCTATCTAAGAATCAGTGGCCATGCTACTTCCTAAGAGTTCAGTTATTCTTCATCTGAGAAGTTTACGCACCAGGCTGTAAGGGACTCCTGGGGCCCTCAGCGGTTTTGAGGGATGCTAAGCCGAGGCATGAGTTTAAAAATAATCTGTAAAGGAAAAAGCTATCAAGTGGTTAAAAATTTTATTATGTGAATCTTTAATGAGTGAATGTAAAATTATTGCTTTTCTGTGATGCTGCAAAAAAAAAGCTTGGTTTTTATACAGAACAGAAAAATCAGACTGTGTTTAGGTATGGAGGGCAAATTTTTAATCTTTCTGAAAATGTTGAATAGGAATATTGAAAATTATGTAAACATTGTGATGACTTAACACTTGGCATTGTAAAATATTAGTTAAGAATCAGTTTACACAAGGACCTTTATATTTAATATGTCTCCTAGGTAATTTGTATAGTGCTTTACAGAAAGGGCTTGTTAGTTTGTTAACAGAGCCCTTTTGTGTAAGAATGGTTATTCCTTATGGAATAGTTTTGGTACAAGGAAGTCTGGAATTAGTAACTCTTTTTCCTGATGTCATAAATAAATGGGTAAGAGCAATAAAAGAGCTTTCTTTATTCCAAGAATACACTTATATATTGTGGTATCAGCGGATCTTTTTAAATATATTGATGAGTAAGATTAACCAAAAAAAAGCACTTTAAGACAGAATTTTTATTGCTGTTTGCCTCCTCAAGTCATCATTCTTATACTTGGAGACATATTGAATAAATTGTAGTCTTAATGATGTGATCTGCAATCATTTGCTTATGCTTTGAAATTGAGAGTTGGAATTGGCTGTATGTGATTCCTTGAGTTAAATGGAGACAGATTTTTTTAAAAAAATTAACACAGGCAAAGGATTGTAGGTTTTGGTTAGCTTGGCAAGATGGCATTTAAAATCCAGCAGGTTAATTTGTTCCTCAATAACTGGAAACCAATTGAACCTAACATTGTATGATTTTATCTTCCTGTCTGAAATGCAGTTTAAGTGATCATTTTAGCAGCTACAGATACTCATTCTGTGCCAATTTTGAGTTTCAGCTTCACTTTATCATATTTTTCTTCACCGTTTTTGACTTTTTTCAGGGATTTTGCCTTAAGTTAAACAAAATTGCACCATTCACGTGAACTATGGTAGAAACTATAACGAGTGCCTGGATGACCTTTATTGTGGAAAGATTTGCCAAGTGAAAGGCACAAATAGCCAAAAAGTGCCTCTCTTTTTTCTTTTCTTTTGACTTTTAACATATTGTTGCAAAACCTGATTTGGCATAAAGCATTTTTCACTGTTGTGCACTAGTTGTGAATATGACAGGTTATTTCACTGTTAAAGGACACAGGTGCACACCATCCAGTTAGGATTAGCTGCCACAGGCTTAAAGAAAAGGGTTTCTCACACTGCATATGCAGAAGAACACATTTCAGGTGAACGCCTTTTCCACAGACAGCATTGTCATTGAAACATGGCCGAGCTCAGATATTTTATTAATAGCCTCCAGAATTTTAAATGTGATGTTTTAGAATGCTGAATAAATTTTGATGTCCTACCCTATCCTTATTGCATCAAATTATCTTCACTTTAACTTGAATCAAAATAAATATTAAGTGATGTTAAATGGAAAATATCACTTGAGTCCAAAAAAACTGAACTTTCCATCATTTCCTATGGAAAAGGTGGTCTCTTATCACAGGCCAAAAACAGAACCTTACTTGAAAAATCTGGTCTGTTTTCACCACAAGACATTCTAACACCATTGTGGGTTGTTACCTGGCCATTTTCCTGCTTGTACAAAGTTGATAGTTAGGTTTTAAAGTATACTTGGTTAGTTTTTTGGTTTCCAGCTGCTATCACTTCAATCTACTGAAGAATATTTTTTTAAAAAAGAAATCTAATGCAACAAATCTAGTTTGCTGTGTAAATTGTGAGTTGTTTCTATGTTGTGATCACCTTTACTGCCAGTTTTTTGAATGAAAAAATGGATTTTATACATATTAATGGAATATGTTACATAGGGGTGGGGCAAACGCAGTTCAACTGTATGCTCTCATTGTTATATGGTTTTGTTCATTTAATTCAGACAGCACTTGGAGAAGGCAGTTTTCAGTGGGGAAAAAGTCCTGGTCAGTGGAATAAAGTTTATTCCTCTCACAAAAATCAGTCTGATCATTAAGTTGCAAAAAGGGGCAGCAATTGCCATTTTGCTTGGTCTGTTTGGAGACTAGGGAGAACTGAGGAATTTGACATAGCTGAATTGTACTCAAGACAGCTACTGTGTTTGCCCGAGTTAAGAAGAGTCCTGAGACTTTTAGCATTCTCATTACCCCTCAATTTATGTAGATGGAGTACAGTTACATGTGCATCCAAAAAAGATCATACGAAACTTTATTTCAAAAAAAGAGGACATTATAAAATGCTATATAAAACAGAATAAATAGTTTCCAAAAGGAAAAAAACCCAAAAATCTACAGCACAAGAAAGGCTTTTTTTTCTACATTAAGCTGCTATGAATTACAGTGGATACATCTATACGTTATTCCATATAACATATTATACATGCTGTGTACATGATTCAGATTTCTCTTTGGCCTTTAAGCAGAAAAGGCCGCTTACACTAAAATTCACTGCATACTTTCTGCAGAGTAAGCACCACTGAACTTTAATAGTAATAACATTAGAACTGCAGAGCTGGAAGGGGCCCTATGGATCATCAAGTCCAGCCCCTGCCAAGGAGACAGAGTGGGAAATCTAACTCTCAACCTCCGGCTCTGCAGCCAGAAACCTAAACCAGAGCTATCAAGCAGTTCTTTGTGAACCTTACTTCTGCAGGACATATTTTTACACATATCTGCAAAATGTGATTATACAAGCAATTTAACATTTGGCAAGCTTGAAGAGAAGGCGAAAGAAAGAAGGGCGTTTATGCAGTACTAATACATTGCCTTGAAAAAACTAATTTCAATGACAGCTACCAAGTGCTTTGTAAGTAAACCACACTGTTTGGCCTAACTTGCCAATAGTGCCCTTGACTGTACAGTATCTCAAGTAGGATTAAGACCAATACTACTTGGTCTCCTGAGTCTTAAGTGCTTTTGAAAGCTTTAGGTCACCTCACATATAGAAGCACTCTGCAGCAGTTCTTTGAGATTCTTGAAGTCCACCAATAATACCCTCATCAAAATAGACAAGCAGGGAAACTGCTTGTCCTGAACGGCTGAGGACTTTGCCCTGCTTTCCTCCAGTCATGGACTGAAAAACTACATTATTTCATCAAGGTATATCTTGCTGGCCCAGTCACTGCATATAGAGCTGCCACTATGCTTTTCTTGGCAAATGTACCTTGACAAGGGCAACAGTGGGCAACTTAACATGACTTCCACAGGTAAAAGAAAAGACAGATAATGTCCTCTAGTGCACATCAATGACAACATCCTTTAAAGGTGTAGCAGGTCTAGGTTAGAAGGCAGCATCACAGAAGTTACTTGGCCATTCTGTCTCTATTTAGTGCAGAGGAGGCTTGGGTAGTACAGTGGTGCCTCGCATTACGATGTTAATTTGTTCTAGCAAAATCTCTGTAGAACGAAAACATCGTAAAGCAAAATTTAAAAGCCCATAGAAACGCATTAAAACCTGTTTAATGCGTTCCTATGGGCTTGAAACGGTCCAGCGAAGATCCTCCATAGCACAGCCATTTTCACTGCCCGTGCAGCGAGGAATTCGTCCCAGAAAAGAGTGGGGAGCCATTTTATTTACCCAGCTGCCATTTTGAAACCGCCGATCAGCTGTAGGAAAATCGTCATTTTGCGAGAATCGGTTCCCGAAGCAGGGAACCGATCATCGCAAAGCGAAATTCCCCCATAGGAAACATTGTTTTCCGATCGCTTTTGCGATTGCAAAAACTTTGTCGTAATGCGATTTCGTCGTAAAACGGAGCGCTCGTCTTGCGAGGCACCACTGTATAAGGCACTTTGGAATCAGGAATGTACGTAGGTATGCATTTGTATGAGCCAAGTACTGTCAGCCACAGGATCATAAGCCATTCCTAGTTTTTAACCAAGTCATGGCATGCTCTCAAATCTTTATGCCTTCTCTCAAAGCAAGGCATCTCCAAGCAATCGAGATTTGATCACACGTTCAAACAGGGTTTTCCCCCCCGTGACATCTATAGATTCTAGCTTAGAATTCCAGCAGTGGTCTTATACTCTATTTCTGACCTAATCCTAGTCCTATTACTTTGTATATCTTAAAGTCAATATTGGCTGGATTCCTGGTGGCACAGCTATGATAATATAAGGCTGATTGTGTCATCAGCTAGTCTTCTATCTTTAAGTTTTCCTTTCCCCCACCCCCGGGTTCCAAGGCTCCCTAGGACTCCCTTTTGACCTATAGTGGCTATTTTTGTATATGAAATGCCCCCTCCACCCTGAGGCCCTTAAATCCTTTCACAGGTCAAAAGGGAACCATATGGAGCCTTTCCAACAGGATTCTTGCCACTGTAAAACAACTTTGCTTTATGGGCTACGAGGGGAAGATGTGGAAAATATTAATGCATACAAAATGGCTATTTACCATAATTGTAACTTATGGAAAGATTCATGGGTTTTGAAAACGTTGAACACACTGTTAATAGGACTTTCTAGATATTTGTATCTATGTAGTTTATACATACATTTATATATGCATGCAGCCTTTTACAGACTACAGAAAGCTTCTGATCTACATGGAGAGAAGTTACTATTACAGTTCAGAAGCTAGACAGTGCATATTTGCATGATTCTCAATATAGACCACACCCAGTTTATACTGTCTTCAGTAAAAGGATGTAGGTCACATGAAAATTAGTTAAGGGATATGTGATACCATAAGTTTAATACCTTCTGTTTCTGGACTATGAACAGACTTGGGAGGAATATAGGTTAACTCGAAACTGTTGCCTGCAAATGGAAGACTGCTAGAAGAAATGCAGCATATTAAGCTGATTGCCCAGATGCCAATACTGAGCCCTCAAACCCGCCTCCTCACAGTGAATATGGTAGTACTATATTTCAAACTCTGTTTTAATATAATTATGACACTTAGAACAGGCACACTGAGGATACTTTGTGGCTGTGCTGGAGCCTGCCTGAAAGAGTACTTTCTTCAGGCCGAACAAGAGAAATGGACATAACGTCACCCATGTGAAGTTATGAGATGGCTGTGGAACTTTGGAGTCCAATGGATAACTGGTGTGGGTTGAGCTGTCACTTATAATTGGAACTGTGCTTCTCCTTCTCCAAGGGTGTCTTCTTGCAGCAAATGGCAACAGCTCCGGCTCCTTTGCTGCCTGGGCTACTCATCACTACACAAGTATTGTCCACTGAATAGGACCCAAGCATGTTTGGACCATGCGATTGGGCATTGCAGCCTGTCAGTGTCCAGCCATCATCACAGGTCACCATTACCTGCAAAGAAGGAGATAAGGAGGTTATTCAACATTAACAAAGAGCAGCACTTCAAATAAGAGAGAATGTGTGGTCTTACCACAGTGGCTCCCAATCTTGGGTAAACTTGGACTGCAACTCCCAGAAACTTCAGCCAGCACAGCTAGTGGTGAAGGCTTCTAGGAGTTGCAGTCCAAGAACACCTGAGTTACCCGAGGTTAGGAACCACTAGTCTACCAGATTTCATTAGACTCAAAACACCCCAACCAGGTGGCCAGTGGTCACTATTGGTGGGAATTGTTGACCATAATTAGTTGTTCAGTGGTTCACTACTGCTGGCTTGCAATTGTATTTTTTGCAATCTCCCTGCCCAGAATATCTCCACTTCCAATAACCCTCTATTGCTCAACTCTTTGAGAGACGTAGAAGAATAAAGTCTTGACTTTGTCTTACACAACATTTGCACAGGTATAGTAACTAGGGTGCCAATCTACAGGAATCAGCAGTACAAAAACCATTCTAGAAGCATCAGTAGGAGGACAGGCTCCAGAAAGAAGTTAACCCTCTATTGCTCAACTCTTTGAGAGAGGTAGAATAAGGTCTTGACTTTATCTACACAACAGTTGCAGAGGTACAGTAACCAGGGTGCCAATCTACAGGAATCAGCATTACAAAAACCATTCTGGAAGCATCAGTAGGAGGACAGGCTCCAGGAAGAAGTTGGAGTTGGAAGTTGGGCAGAGTTGGAAAAGAGAGTTGAGCAAGTCCATGCATTGCGGTTCACAACTATGTATCTCTGGAAACAGAAACCCAGTTTGGGAACAACAACTTGCCCCCCCCCCATGAACTGAGTACTCACTTAACGACCTCAGAAGCATGGAAGCCTGGGAGTCAACATTGACCCAGCTACCTGCACCTGTTAGGATTGAACTCAGGTCATGGGCAAAAAAAGCTTGACTGCAATACTGCAGTTTAACCACCATGCTATGGGGCTCTTTTCGCATCAGCTCAATAATAGGAAATTACAATAGCCAAACCAACAGCACAGACAAGGAAACCTGTAGCCCTCCAAATGTTGCACTAAAAATGTCAACCACTCTGTCCAGCGGGGGCTGTTGAGAGTCTACGCAATCCAGAAAGCCATAGCTTGCATGATCCTGCTTTAAAACCACCAGGGAAGAAAATGAAACTTTTTAAGGATAACATGACAGTGATAAACACAGAGAAACCTATTAGGTAGAATGAATTCTGAAGATGGCTTTGTTTTGTATTAGCCACAGAACACAAGGTACTCAGTCTATTTTTTTGCACTTTCTGTACCAGCACACACCTGGAAATAAGCACCACCAATCATGTGACAGCAGGATACACACCATATCCACCAGTGAGGCAGGTCCCATGTCTTGCCACTCAGTCCTTCAAGTACCATGGAGAACATTAGGTTAGTATCTAAGTCTCGTCACTACCCTGCGCTTCATCTTTTATCATTATTATTGTTACTCCCATTAGGATTCTCCTCAGTCCCATGGCAAATTCGGTGACCTGTATTCTCAGTGACTTAACTAAGGCCAAAAAAAAGTGACAGATGATCAGTTTACAAAACAGAGGAACTTCTGAAAATTTGCCCTGTTAGATGCTTCTAGCCTGCAAAACAGAGGCAGGGATTACAAAATCCTTTAAAGTCAACACTTGACTTTGGATTAGGTTATCACAAATCAACTAGAATGATGTCCCCACATACCTTTGCTGTGGACTCCAGAGGAGAGTATTCCTGGACCTTGCATTCAATGCTGGGTGCATGGCAACAGAAAGCATGCACAGCTGCATCTGCTTGGCCAATGCAATGGTCATGGTTGCGTTCTGTCCTGAGTATTGGTCTGACGTGGATCTTGAAACCTCCAGCCACAGAATGAGAGCTGCAACCTGTCAATTTAGATCGTATGCTCAGTGGCATTTAAAAAAAATACACAGAAGCCAAAATACAAAGATTTTTTTAAAAAATCCTCTATCACCTTCCTGTTTCTGTTTGTTTGCTAGTGCAACTGTAGGGTCAAAAATTAGATGAGGGAATGCAAAAAGCTGGTGGAATCTCCCAACACTGCAGCATCTATGTATTCCTTCTCTTTAGGTCTTCATCTTCAGGACGGCTCTTTCCTTTCCTCCCTTACAGATGCCGTCACTACGTAACACATTGGCCGAGGGCTCTTGGGTTTGTGCAATGTGTGCTGAAGACTGAGTAACTAGGCACAAGTGTTCAGGAGGAGCCTCGTGGTGCAGTGGTACTGCAGTAAGGCAGCTAAAACTCTGCTCACAACCTGGATTCAATCCCAAGTAGCCAATTCGAAACTCATTCAGCCTTCCATCCTTCCAAGATTGGTAAATTGAGTACCTGGCTTGATGAGGGGGGGGCAGAAGGAGGCAATGTGTAGTCTGCGTAAGTAAATTGTAAACTGCCACAAGGCTACTTTAAGCACTAGGGGACAGTGTAGAGGAAAATGCTTTTGCTTTTGGCTCACTGACGGCACTTAGAAAAGATAGATGTCAAGCACTTGGTTTTAAATCGAAGTATACAACAGCCAGCCAGGAAATGCAAAAACTGTGTGTGTAATTTCCCTTATGCATACAGTATTTTGCCAAGGTTGGACACCACTGGTGTAGAGGAACATGCTTTTGCTTTTGGCTCACAGACGGCACTTAGAAAAGATAGATGTCAAGCACTCGGTTTTAAATCGAAGTACAGTGGACCCTTGACTTACAGACAGCTTGACTTACAGACTTTTTGAGTTACAGACTTCTCTGGCCGCAAAATTTAGGTTTGACTTGCAGACTGAGATTTGACTTACAGACCAGAAAAAAAACAAAATGGAACAAAAACGGCCTGTTACAGGATTAATCGGTTTTCAATGCACTGTAGGTCAATGGAGACTTGACTTACAGACTTTTTGACTTGAGAACCGCCTTCCAATACGGATTAAGTTCTCAAGTCAAGACCCCACTGTATACAACAGCCAGCCAGGAAATGCAAAAACTGTGTGTGTAATTTCCCTTATGCATACAGTATTTTGCAGTGTGACTCTGTAAAGGGTTTTTTTTCAGATCCTTTTAGGTCCACATGACTGGAGCAATCCATTCATTCCTGCTTTTGAAAAGTGGAAGCAACGTAAGAAACATTCGTCTGAATTCCATGAGAATACCCAGGTAAATAATTCAAGGATGGTAGCCTCAAACTACTACCTCAACATACATGAAATCAGTGAAAGAGACAACTACATCCACTGGTTGCACAGCAGTCTGAAATAATAGATGGAAAATCCCATTCCAGTCCCTACCGTTGAATGCTGATGGGGACTGTGCCTACTGACTGCACATCACACTACAAGTGTGCATCCAACTTGTACAAAACAAGTCTTAAGTACTTTATGCATATAAAACCAGAACAATACACTTTGCACAAACCATTCAACACACAAATTCTGATACTGCACAGGAAACTGTTTTCATGTGCAGGTCCTGGAAACACGCACTGCTTCTAAGTACCCCAGTGATAGTGGTCTTCACATACCTGTCAAAACAGAGCTGTCTTCACTGCAGTGGGCACTTTGTCGTGCTGCTCCCTCTGCAGGCTGAGAGTGGGCATGAACCTGGCAGTCAGCTTTGGGCCAAATGCAACACCGAGCAATGGCATAGACACCATGCCCCCCAAATCTGTTATGAGCCAAGCACTCTTTCCTGCCTCCGTGATCCTGGCATTAAGAAAGCACACCAATGAGATACAAGAAATGCCAGCAAACCCCACCTCGTTGAAATGAATGCCTGAATCCAAACCCAACAATGATGGAAGGCTGCCACCAAGGAACATCACCTCAATACGCTCGCCTCGCCATTTGCCGTTCTTTGACAAGCTCGAGCAGCTGAACATTTCTTCATTGCTGTTGCAGTGGGCAATGGCTACGGCAAAACTAGTTGATCCAGACAAGGAAGACCAGACAGAGCGACAGTACAGTTGTTCATCTGAAACAGAGCGGCCCAAAATCCTCTTTTATCTCTCAAAATACTCCCTTTACGACTCCTTGTAGGTTCCTGGTACACCTGAAGGGCCTATAACTGCAAGAGAGTCAGGGCAGGGAACAATCTGGAAATCAGCAGAAAGCTGAGCAGCAATTATGATGGTTCAGAGGAGGAAAGCAAAGGCTGGAAAAGTTACTGCATGCTAGGGGATTCTGGGTGTTGTTAATCAAAAAGTAGTTGAAATGAATGCCTGAATCCAAACCCAAGAATGATGGCTGCCACCAAGGAACATCACCTCAATACGCTCGCCTCGCCATTTGCCGTTCTTTGACAAGCTCGAGCAGCTGAACATTTCTTCATTGCTGTTGCAGTGGGCAATGGCTACGGCAGAACTAGTTGATCCAGACAAGGAAGACCAGACAGAGCGACAGTACAGTTGTTCATCTGAAACAGAGCGGCCCAAAATCCTCTTTTATCTCTCAAAATACTCCCTTTACGACTCCTTGTAGGTTCCTGGTACACCTGAAGGGCCTATAACTGCAAGAGAGTCAGGGCAGGGAACAATCTGGAAATCAGCAGAAAGCTGAGCAGCAATTATGATGGTTCAGAGGAGGAAAGCAAAGGCTGGAAAAGTTACTGCATGCTAGGGGATTCTGGGTGTTGTTAATCAAAAAGTAACTTCTCCAAACGGGGGGCGGGCAGGAGGCTACATATCCATTGACTAATTGGAAGCTTTATGATGGCATATGGTTTTGAGATTTTTTTTTATTTCATCAGGGGAGTTGTACTTCAATTTTAGACATCTAAATGCGGTTCACCAGGAACCAAAGGCCTAACCAGGAAGGTGTTGTGGCTTAGCTATGCCTAACTCCACCCAACCTTCTTGTTCCTGGTGCAGGGAAGGGGGCTTTCTTTCTGAACAGAAAGTAGAAGGAGAAGCTAACCCTCAAAGACTTCCTGTTTAGACCTTTGGTGTCTGGAAGGTGTGTGTAAGTCAGGTAGAACTCCCAGAATGGGAAACTGTGGGATATGCAATCCAAGAAATCAAAAAAATCCCATCTCTAACGGCATACCAAATCTTTTCTTAAAGCATAAAGCCAAAAACTACCTGAGAACCAGATTTACACTCACCTGCGACAAGTTTCGAGGGAAGCCCAGCCACTCTGTTTGGGGTTAACAGCCTCTGTCCTTCAGGAAACCAAGCCTCATTCATAAGGTTTTTGATTGAGAAGTGTATAAGCCTCTGCCTCAGCTCCGAGATGGACAGTGTGGGGTTGGTGTTTAGAACCATGGCTGCAATACCTAAGGGCAACAGATGAATCCGCGCAATTTATTTATTGGACTTATATACCGCCCCATAGCGCTACAAGCACTCTCCGGGCGATTTACAATTTTTAATTATACAGGCTACACATTGCCCCCCCAGCAAGCTGGGTACTCATTTTACCGACCTCGGAAGGATGGAAGGCTGAGTCAACCTTGAGCCGGCTACCTGGGATTTGAACCCCAGGTTGTGAGCACAGTTTTAGCTGCAGTACAGCATTTTAACCACTGCGCCATGAGGCTCCAATATTACTTGGCAAGAGCCTGGATCTGGCGGGAGGGGCAAAAAGCTGTAGTTTTCATATATCACAATGGCATGTCATTTCCAGAAAAATTCATCAAGCATGCCATATTACAGACGGCAACCTGTTCCACACATGTACATGCACAGCAGCCTGTGCTGTGTGCACAGATCTTTGACTCCATCTGCAGTGCTACTAATAATCATGGTTGGTGACCAGACCCCACCAGCACCCTATGCCCTCCTCTTCTTTCCAAACAGTTGCTCAGCTGGATTTTCTAACTTCTGTTAAAGCAGAAGTAGCCAACATGTGGACCTTGACCAGCCCACTAGAAGGGCTTTTCAAAATATGTGGAAAAATAGCGGAGTTAATTAAGATCTCCATTCCGCCATCCTTGTCCAGGACAAGCATAATTCTGCTTATTCAAGATGACATGTAAGCCACTTGAACCCCACTTTGCACCAGAAAGGTGGCATATAAATGTAATAAATCAGTGATAAATAAATAAATATCTTTCATACCATTTAATTTTTATAAGTCAATTTCACCTGAGAGAGATTTGTGGTGTATGCTTAAATTCCCTCCCACTGATATCTATGAGACTGAGAGATAAGTGCTTAACTTCAGCTGGATTTGCCTGTAGTGTGTTGCCTATAGAGGCTAAATTAACATAATGGTGTCCGATGCTTCATGCAAACGTCTACAACATCTTTAAGTTACTCAGTATTATTTATTTACTGGATCTACAACCTACTCTTTTGCCACAAGAAATGGGACTCAAGGCCGTTCAAAGAAAGATAGTTAAAACTCAAAACTATTCACATGTCAAAACACAATTTAAAAGGCTTCCTTAGAAGTGATAAAGAAAATATAATACCCACTTGCATTTTCAGTAATTAATCTTAAACCACTTTGAAACTGATTTAAACCTATCCAAAGGAAAAGGATTATGTGTTAACACCACACGCTGCAGGACATAAGGTATGGATCCTTAGGTTTATAATAGAGCTGGACAATCCTTACCTTAATGGGTAGCAAGACAGGCCAATTCCTGTAAGGGAGAATCAGGGATCATGAATTCTTCACCCCATACATCTGACCACTTCAGCCAGGAGCTTTGGGGCATCTTTCCATCAGAGAGGATGTCTGTTTCCACCCACCACTCATTTGGAGGCACACATGCAAGTGCAAAACTTCATGCAAGTGCAAAACTTCAGAAGGAAATTCAATGAGGTCCAGTGGGATTTACAGATAAGTGTGTGCAGGACTGTAGTTTCAACTCATCAACAATTTGCTGCTGATGCAAGGGCTCTTGATATGCTCACCCATAGAACTGCCTTGGCCTAAGCAGCTGCCACATTCACTTCAGTGAATGGAACAGCCAATTTCTCCATGGAAGTGACTGAGCAGCTCCTGTTCTATCAGGGGAACCAGGAATAATCCCTTTCTCTTCTGCAGTCTGCTCTCCTCTTAACCAAAGATATTGTTTCTTTGCTGCTGATGCAAGGGCTCTTGATATGCTCACCCATAGAACTGCCTTGGCCTAAGCAGCTGCCACATTCACTTCAGTGAATGGAACAGCCAATTTCTCCATGGAAGTGACTGAGCAGCTCCTGTTCTATCAGGGGAACCAGGAATAATCCCTTATTCTTCTGCAGTCTGCTCTCCTCTTAACCAAAGATCTTGTTTCTGCTAATACTTCTGAATATGAATGATTCAACTACATGGAGCTCTTATCCTCCAGCATATCCTGTTGCTTAATTTGATGGACTCCTTCTGCATAAATAAGTAACCTTCCCCAACCCCTTCAAGTGTGTTTTTTAAAAGATCTATATTCTACAATTACAACCGGCACCCTTCAGGATGTGTATTAGTAGGGAAATGTGTCAGCAGCAGTTAACTCTGAACTGCTTCCAGCCTCAGGCCCTGTCGCCTGCAAGCGCACAGTTATCAGACTGCAGCAATGCTCTGTCATTCCCAGCTGTTTCATCAAGGCATAAAGATGCAGATGCACGAAGCCACCAAATGAGGTTGGAGTGGTGAGGAAAACCTCCCTTGGGACTCCATTCCTGTCTTCATAGAAGGGAGCTACCCCTGAATGCATTAACTCCAATTTCTGCTCAGTTTCAGTTCAGCATTTAACAGGTTATGTCCCAAGATTCTAGCCCAGTTCTACCCTAGCCCAGCAAACTATGAAAGGTCAAAGCCAAGAGAAAGCTTTAGAGTAGAGATGGAGGTTGTCATATTCGTATACGAATACAAATACGCCCGCACAGGTGGCGATAACGAGGGTCCAGCCCCATGGGGCCGGGCGGTCCATTCACAATTCTGCCGCTGCCGCGACCTCCATNCACTCCTGGGAGGAGACGGGATGACAAGCCTCTCTGCCAGGTCAAAGAGTGGCTCACAGATCGCGATCCCCGGAGCCACTGGAAAGCTCTGCGGAATTCATGGCACCGGCAGAATTGTGAGTGTCTGCATCCAAGGAGACCTCTCTGAGCAGGCTCTATCCAAGCTCCACAATCTGACAGGTGAGCACATGGCCTGCTGTAGGACCCTGAACTCAAAGGCAGCCTGAGCCAAGGCAAATGTGTCCATTTTGTAAGGCCTAACAATTAGTTTGTAACTGAAGGGGACAAAGTCGCCCAGGCCTCTGCTTTGCAGGCTTCTGCTGGAGTGGAGAAAACGGCAGGTGGGGAGGCAGCTCTGGTGCGGTGATGTGTCTGAGTTTAGGAAAGCCCTGTTATCTCATGGGTGGTGAAGATCACAGGCCTTTACCCACAGGGCAAATGTTTTTATTTTATTTTATTTTATTTAGCTTATGTGCCGCCCGCACTTCCCAAAGGTCTCGGGGTAGCTTGCAGCAATTTAACTACAGTAAAAAAAGATAAAACAATTAAAATATGCACTTGATGTAAATTGTGAGAGCACATCTAACAACACCCTAGTGAAAAGGTATGGTGGATGACCTTATACCATACCTTTTCCCTAGGGAGTGAGAATGAGGGAGAAAAGGAGAGAAGCACTAAGTCCATGGAAAAGGGAATGGGTCTTTGGGGGGGGGGAGAAAGAACAAGCCCAGCGGCAACTCTGTCAAAGACGCACCTGCTGGGAAGAACAGACAGATGGGATGTGGCAGCCACTGAAAAGGCCACTTTTAAGGTAAGCATCCTGAAGTGTACCACCTGAACAGATTCAAAAGCCAGTTTTCTGAGGGGGTTAAACACTCTACGTAGCTTCTAGGAAGGGAACTGGTAAACTATGGGTGGACCATACAAAATTAAGTGAAGACAAATCTATTTCTAGGTATGTTTTCATGGACTACAACCCACTTCTTCAGACACAATCGTTCTACGTCTGAACCACAGCCTGCCATTCACAACCATGATTTCCAGCCAGCACATCCCATCATTGACCTACTGCTCCTCTTTATCAAGCTGCCGCAACATGAAAACATAGAACTGAAAGACAATCTACAACTGAACAAACTCGTAAATAACTGGCGGTACAATGAGCAACAGAACAGCCCAATTAGTAAGTATGTTTTGTTCAATCTGAGGGACTGCTCTTCATGAGAATAAGAGAATAAACCTCTTTCACCATAAAAACCTAAGGCTCAAAACAACTAACTCGCCAATTAGTAAGTATGTTTTGTTCAATCTGGGGGACTGCTCTTCATGAGATTAAGAGAATAACTTTCATCCATAAGAACCTAAGGCTCAAAACAACTAACTCACTGACATGTAGAGGAATCATATATGCCACTGGTAGGGCCCACATACATTCTCCACAGTAATTAGGTGGGAGCTGAGCATTTTGTCTGCACTCTTCTGCAAGATGTACTGGAACCTTTTACCTGCTACGTGTGCAGCTGCTTGAGATGTCCCACTCTGTGATGTGAAGCAGGTGCTGCAGTCACTAGAGGCACCAATGATATCCTCTCCAGGAGCAAACACATCCACGCAACGGCCAAAGTTGGTTCCTAAGATCCCCATGGAGGCCGGTTGGTCCTGGACGTTGGTGGCTCCCACTGTGATAACCTGTAAGGACACCAAACCCGTCTGTCAGCAATGAAGACAGCAAATACAAAACCAGAGCCTTGGGGGCAATCTTGTGATCCATGTACAAAACACTATTCAAAGGCAAGGAAAATCAAAACCAGAGCATTTCCAGCAGATGGCTGTCCAGTCACGGTTTCTCCATCGGAGAAGAACTCGCCGATGACCTGGGGAGAAGCAGAGATCCACAACAAAAACATGCCTTCTGAGCATTCTGGTGGTGTGAAAAGGGGCTCAACATGTTGTAACCAGATGTGTATTTGCATAGTTCTTCCAGGCTGGTAACCATAAGCAGGCCACACATGGAGCTCCTCACTGCACAAACAGCCCTTCTCCCACATCACCAAAGGATGCAAGCATCAAGGAACCATTTCTGTCTCAATAGCTCCTCTGAATAGCTCTGCACCGCCCCTCCAGACAACCACACGTCCTTCCATTCAACTGAGGACAGACGAGCAACTCTCAGGCGACTGGCAGTGGACAATGTGACGGCGGTTCCACTGACAAATGCTACTCTTGAAGCAATAAGAACATGTCTGGAAGGAAGCTGGAACTTTCTCAGAGGCACTACAGATCATTTCCTCACTCTTTTCCTATGCCTGAATTAAGCTGAAGAACATCTAAGCTGCTACATACCTCTGGTTCTGATGCTGGAGAATAAAGGCAAGCGTCATCCTTATAGTTGCCTGCCGCGGCGATTATCACCACTCCCATCTGCACCATCAGGCGACAGGCTGTGTTCAGGATACGGCTATAGCCTCCAGCCAATGGGAGCAAAACAACCAGAGGATTGTAGGGCTGGGCAGCCAAGGTCTTTTTGATGAACTCCAGTCCTGTTATGTAAAGGAAAGCAGACAACAGGGTATGTTGCACCTTATGCAGAAGTGCAATGCAGTATCTTTCACAGTGTGTGAAATCCAAGGTGAAGAAACGGAACAGAAGAACATATATATACTTTTACGAAACAAGGGAGGCTTTTCTACATGTATCTCTATCATTAAGGAATGAAACAGAGGAAACCACCATAATTTGGAAACAACAACTGAAATTAAGGTTCACTTAATACAGGCACTCCTGGAAGAGACTGATGCCCTTGATTCATTCCAGTCTGAGTTCTGGCCGTATTACGGCACAGAGATGGCACTGGTCACCCTGCAAGATGACCTTCTGAGGGAAACCAACAGGGGCAAAATGTGCCTGCTGGTCCTCCTCAATCTCTCAGCAGCCTTTGATACCATGGACCTCAGTATCCTCCTGAGTTGGGGATCAGTGGCCTGCCTTTGTTCTGGCTCCAATTCTTCCTAAGAGGATTGTCCTCAGAGAGTGCAAGCTCAGGGTGATGATGTCCACCCCTTGGACTCTTAATTGTGGAGTCCCACAGGGGTTGATCATCTGCCCATTGCTGTTTAATATCTATATGAGATGCCTGGGGAAGGTCTTCAGGATTTTTGGAGTTTCATTTCATCAATATGCACATGACATCCAGCTCTCTCTCTCTCTCTCTCTCATTTTTTTCTGCAGTGGATGCTGTCCCGCCCCTTGTACTGTGTTTTCTAGGCCAGGGGTTCACAACCCCCGGTCCACAGACTGGTGCCAGTCCGTGGCCTTGCCCCTCCCCCACGCACGGACCCCACCTCCTCACCGGGTCCGCGGTTCAGAAAAGGTTGGGGACCACTGTTCTAGACAACCTGTTTCCCTCTAGTGCAGGGCAAAATGCTACACTGTCATCAGCCTCGTACTAAGATTAAAGGATGACCCATAAATTTCTAGTTGTGAAACAAAATGTGCGACAGACACACGGCAAATTGAAAAACACTGCAGTTGCTGTTGCAGTATTTCACTGTAGGATTTTGCCCAACAGTTCAATATGACACCCAAACAGGCTGTTGCCATGACAATGCCCACATGTTACACCCTATATCATTATTTGCAAGTCTGTTGGCTCCTTGGATCACACTGTTTTAATGAGTAACCCGGGAAGCTGGTCTCCAAAAAGGTTCTGTTGCCTTCTGTTGGCAGAATCAGAAAGGGCACCGCCCCTCCAGGTGGAAGAGAATTCCAATATAAGCATTATAGATGCAGAGAGCTAGGAGCCACTATCCGATATTTGGTTGTTGCCCGATTTCTTACAATTCCAGCTCATAAAGGAGATACAGTATTCTGAACATGCATCAGCTACGTGTAAACAGTTATTACAGCATTCAACACCAGACTTTTTGACTCTTTCTTCCCAAACTGTTTCGATGTTCTCCACTACCACCACCTTCTTGGTGGATCAACAATACCAAGAGTCTTGCTAGGTTTTTCTACGCTGTGCTCCAGGGTTGAGCTTTGCCATGGCAACCACTGCTGCTACTCACCAATCAGAGTGCCACTCACAGTGCCCTTCCCCTGGCAGTTAAGCACGCGGAGGCTGTGAACGCTGGCTCCTTTCGCTACACCGGCATCCCTCCCACTCACAACTCCAGCCATGTGCGTCCCATGGCTGTCACACTTGCTGGCCTACCAGAAAGCATAAATACATTATTTCCCTCCTACAGGCACACAAAACAATAACCATCCATGGTATCACTATATCCATCTCCCAGGAGCTCTCCAATGAGTCCATGGAGGGTAAGCTGAGAGTTTGATTAATTTTCAATAGTAAAGGTAAAGTTTCCCCTTGAAATTTAGTCCAGTTGTGTCCGACTCTAGGGCACAGTGCTCATCCCCGTTTCCAAGCCATAGAGTCAGCGTTTGTCCGAAGACAATTTCCGTGGTTATGTGGCCAGTGTGACTAATATGGAACACTGTTACCTTCCCACTGAGGTGGTACCTATTTATCTACTCACATTTTTACATGCTTTCGAACTGCAAGGTTGGCAGGAGCTGGGACAAGCGACGGGAGCTTACTCCGTCGTGTGGATTCGATCTTACAACTGCTGGTCTTCTGACCTTGCAGCACAGAGGCTTCTGCGGTTTATCCCACAGAGCCACCACGTCCCCAATTTTGAATAGGAGTTGCAAAATGTGTGTAAAGTAAATATGAACTAAGGGATGGCCAAATTGGAATGGGCAGGACTAGTTTAAATAGAGCTGCTTAAGGCAGGTTAAGGTCAGATAGAAGTACGTATGTGGTGTGATCTGTGCATACAGGTCAGAAAACCACATCTAAACAACTCTGTTTAGCATGATCAAGATCTTCTTTCACTTTAAAAGGCAAAGAACAGCCAGCCAGCCACTTTGGTTCAATCCCAGTTATCACATGCACAGGAATGGAACCAAAACAGAGCAATCCTACCTGCACCTAAAAACAGTAGCCCCCTTACAGGGACTAAGAAAGGTGTAGTTAAGAACGCTCTGGGGCCAGGCTGGTTCCCTCTAGCAGTGACATTGTCTGATCCCTGACAAAAGAAGCAGACCAGACCATCCCCACAGTGGACACTTGGGAGGGCACCCTCAAAGTTTTAAATGTATTTTTGTAAAAGTACATTCTACCATAAAATATTTTTAATACTCTTTCGTGAAAGTACATTCTTAGGCATCAAAATTGGGCAAAGAAATTTGGGGAGGTAACAGATTTAGTTTGAAATATGTTATCCTTCGACTCCAGTCACAATGGCTTTAGGCCAGGGGTGAGAAACCATTCTTGCATGGGGGTGCAGGAAGGGATCTCCGAGTGTTTTCAGGAATAAACTTAAAACCTGGCTATTTGGGCAGGCTTTCCCTCCTGCCATTTCTTAATTTCTTATACTTTCACCACTTTGGATCTATAATATATACATATTTTTGGTTTTATTGTTTTTAAACTTGTAAACCAACCAGAGTAGACCTTTGATCTAGATGGGCAGGATAGAAATCCAATAAATAAAATGAAATAAATATTCCGGGCCCAAGCCCCATGCAACAATGGAGCTCCCACAAATGTCCCACAGCCGACTGCTGTAAAAGAGGAAGGCCACAGGCAACAGCATCAAGACTCTATCTGGGTGGAGTTTGCGCTTCTTCGTTTCATGCTAAGCTAGAAACTGAGCTTTGGTCCTCTTGCTCCTCCTCCACGCAACGGAGGAGCAGTGAAGCTGGCTGCTTTTAGCAAGCCCTTGCAGACACTGCTAAGTCCCAAGATCACAGCTCCCTCAGTGCCTGCAGAAAACAACTGAGGGCAGCCAGTTTCACCTGCACTCCAAGAATACACAGGTTAATTCCAAGAATTCCTCATCCATGTCCCCCACTATCTGAGAAGGAAAAAAGATGAGCCTGCCGTTCCCAGCAACCCACCCTGGATGATGCAGTGTTGGTGCTGGAGGTTATGCCGTTCAGCATGGGCACAGCTTTCCATAGTGCCTGCAGTCTATAATCCATGGGCCTAACCCAGTCACACTAGGAAATCTCCACAAAGCATCCATACTTGACACCAAATTTAAAACCTACCACCTAGCTGTTGGATGAGGGAGATAAAAACTTTCACCAAAAGAAAACAATGCCATCCTCTTGGAAAGAGGGAAGATTCAGGCTGCAGCTACATGGGTGCAGGCTGGTGCTGCCTAAATAGGGTCACCCAAGGTCAGGGCAAGGAGCAATAGGTCCTTTAGTGCAATCCTCACATCCAAACGACATACCAACCTCAAGGGACCCTGTTTAGTCTGATGTCCTCCATTGTCAATTTCCAGTATCGTAAAAAGTGGCTTAATAAATAAGCCAATGCAGAGAAAGAAGGGGAAGTAAAATTATTAATTTTTTGGGGTTTGCTAAACCATCACTAAACAATCACTGAAATTAATTTTAAAAAAATATTTGCCTCATTTGTAGTCCCAAATGAGAAAATTTCATGCAGTTGCGGTTTCAATCGGCATTTCACACAAAGGCAAAAAAAACATTTTTTAGTTTAATGTACATCAGCGATGGTCCAGAAGACCAAAAAAAATTGATAATTTCATTTTCCCTGCCCCCATGCAGAGAAGTGTTCGGTTTCCTCATAATCTTAAGTGGCTCACTTATTAAACCACTGATAGTGGAAGGAGTCTTGACAGCTTAAGGCTCACTTCTTTGTCCATTCCCAAACTAAACTATAAGCACCAAAAAAGTAGAAGCCCCTGACTGGAGTTCAACAAAGTCCAGGTAGGGGTGTTCTGGGGATGGATTGATTTGCTCTAGCAATCAGGTCATCTGGTCACTGGAAAAAGGAGTGAAACCACCCATCCTCACATCACACCGAACAGCAGGACAAACATCCATCTGATCAAGTCCAAGTAAGGTCTCCAAGGATCACATCTGAGCCCACATATCTAAGTCTTAGTTTCAGTTAAGAATTCACTCCGCTTCCCAAGTCACCAGATCAGCCAAAGGTCATTTGGTTTGGGGATGATGGGAATTGTATTCCAACACATCTAATGAGTGTCAGGTTGTGGAAGGTTGCGCTAGACCAATATTGTGACTCCCAGCACACATTTTAACAAACATGATTAGGAGAAAAAGGTTGGCCTGAAGATGCTCAACAGCCATGATGATAACTACAAGCCCAATGATGCATGATCACTGACACTATATATCCGGCAGACCTCTTTGCTATAGTCCAAAAATTTCAAAAATTATATATATTTAATACTTAAAGCTCTAGTGGGATTTCTCCTTAGGAGTGAGTAAAATTTCCGATTTCATGACCACAAAATCTGACCTGATTTGGGGACTCTTCTGCTTTCCTGTATCATCTAGCATGATGAAGAATTCTGAAGAACTGCAGAATTTTGTAGCATCTTTGTTGATCCTAATAAATATGCTGCCCCACTCTGAATTTGGCATGTCCTCTCATAGTCCAGCATGATTATCTCTGGGTGTGTATGTGTGTTTATTTAAAAAAGAAGACTAACAACCAGATCTTCAATGCTAACATACCTGTCTGTGGAAGCGAGTGCCATCCTCTTCTGGGACATTCTCAAAATCGGTCACAAACACTCTGCCCTCTATTTCCCGGTGGTTGCTCTGGATGCCGGTATCAAGCAAGTAAACTTCCACCAAGTTACCAGTATCTACAAAGAGGCAGTCAGTCAGTGATGCCAAGAGGAAATGTACACAAGGCTTCTACGGCAATGTTAAGAGCTTTCACCTTCCCAGCACTATTGCCAATATCTAAGGATGTTTGTCTTTCTTGAGCAACTGACAATGGGAACCGGTCCATACTTTTATGGGGAAATTGCCCAGCGAGCAACAGACCATGAAAGGAAAGACAGACTGGACATAAGATTTATTTCCCTTCTATCCTGTTGACAGAAGGCAGTGCCAGGTGAATTACCCTTTGTGCCCCCATGTCCAAAGGATGACACAAACATTGTCCAATGTCAGAGGTGGGACTGTACATCCTCAACAGAAAGACATCTTCAGAGTTTGAGGGCAGCCTAGAACACACACTCTCTCTCTCTCTCTCTCTCTCTCTCTTCTCTCTCTCTCTCTCTCTCTCTTCTCTCTCTCTCTCTCTCTTTCTCTGAACGGAGAGAGGCCAACAAGTTAGGTATCTTTTTATATATTAAGTCAAGGGGAGGCTGGATCAGGATCTTGGCACGAGGTGAAGATTCAGTCCCACCTGATGTAAACAAGCCTGCTATTCACAAGGGGAAGACAACTCCCATTGGCATCAGAAGGCAATTCCATTCTGAAGCTCAAGTTCCCGTGAGTGAATGGAATGGAACTACTACGGCTAGGAACACAAGACAGGCAATAGGATTACAAACAACATGCACACACACACACCTTTCAGACTGGGGACATTCTCAACACCATAAATTCTGCTTCAGTTAAGTGCTTTCTTTTCTTTCTTTTTTTCATTCAGTGACAAAGACAGTCAAGAAAGAGATGTTTAAAAAGCAGGACACCACCAGTCCTGCAAAGGGCCGACAGTTATATTTCCCTTCCCATCCATATCCTTAGAGCACCAAGTGCAGGGCCTGCCTGCCAAAACACACTTTACCAAAATAGTTTGGATTTTAGTGTTGTGCAAATGTATCTTTTAGAAAGGATTCCAATGACTGAAGCTGACTAGTATTAGCCAGTACATAAACACCATTAAATAAAGAAAAAGCCATTGAGACGAACACTTGTATCTTAGGCAAATGAAATACTCTCCTGTGTGAGTTGTTAATGCCTTTCATCTATCTGTTGTCTGCACTGAACTGCGTACTGGATAACCCAAGACTGCACTCACTGACCTCATTTCTTGAACAAGATGTCATTTGCAGCACCTCTGGTTTCAGGGCACCTTCACAGTGTCTTTGAAAAGGAGTAACTACTAACTGGACACCTTCCTGTATACGTAGGACAGACCTACCCACTGAGGGAAACTAAGCAACTGTACAGAGTGCCAAATATAAAGGTACCTGCCTCGGCTATGCAAATATTTTGGAGAGGGAATAAATCCTGGCTGACAACTTAACTGGAAGACACACAGAGGTGATACAATTGGTTGGTGATTATTACGGGAATATAGTCCCAACATTCCAAGGGAAATTATTCTGAATGGCAAATCAGGCTGAAACAATGCTCTTGCATACTTAACTACTATGGAAACTTGAGTGACGAAAAATACAGTAAGCTCATATGGTTCAGGGACTCAGCTTTGATAATAAGTTGGATTCAGATTTAGTCAGTAAAACAGAGCCATGAAAAATAATGGGACTTATCTGAGTAGTAACAAACTTCGGTCCTATTGATTTCAGAAAATCTGTTCTAAGTATGTCTACATTTTGAGTAGAATTCATAAATTGCACCTGTGTGAGTTGTTAATGCCTTTCATCTATCTGTTGTTGGTGTGCCTTTCTATAGCTTTCAGGGCAATCCCAGCTTATTTTATGTACAGAGTTTTATTGCCGACCCTCTAAATCTTTCGGAACATGTGAGCCAACATGCAAACAGCAGCTTACTGGGAGGAGTGTATTCATTAGATTTGGCCTCTGCAGGGACAATTCGGCCGAGGTTCCAGGGAATGCTCTGAGCAAACAAATAGGAGTCTTCCTCTATGTAATCCACATGCGGCAGCTTCAAAGCCTGAGGGAAAGGATGTCAGAGGAAAGTTTGTTTAAACAAGCCAGTTTTTATTGCAATTACAATACAAATAATTAATAACTGAATGACATGAAGTCAATGCTGACTTATGACAATCCTCTGTAAGGTTTTCTAGGCAGTGAATACTCAGAAGTGGTTTACCATTCCCTTCTTCTAGAGACGCCCTGGGACTAAGCGGCTTGCCCAGAGCCACACAGTCTAGCTCTTCACCCTGGTGGCACAGTGGGGAATGGAATTCCCAGCCTCTGGTTCTCCTGCTAGATACCTAAACCACGGAGCTACCCATCCCTCTAGGATACCCAATGTAGTGCAGTGGATAAAGTAATGTACTAGGACTCAGAAGACTTGGGTTCGATTCCCCAACTCTGCCATGGAAATTTATGGGGGTGGAGACAGGCTGGTAAAATCACTCACTTACCTAGAAAACTATATTAGGGTTACCGTAAGTCAGTTCTGACCTGATGGCACATAACAACAATACAAATATCAAATGCCATCTTATATTTCAGATTGCTGCATATATGAAGCCAGAAAAATGTCTTTGCCCCAAAGGGTGCAAACATCATAGGAAGACTGACCAACAGCAAAGGCCCCTTGTAATCACTATCCGTTATGTATCTGTTCTGAAACATAAGCACAAAGCCATTAGCAAGTGCTTTTATTACATTTGGTGTAATAAAACAATCATCAGAACATTGTCTCAGTTAGATGTCCACACCAGCCTTTCCCTGCCTCGTGCCCCCCATCAGGTATGTTGGACTACAACACCCATAATATCAAGATACCATGTTGTTTAGGGATGATAAGAACCGTACACCAGCATACATGGAAAGGCACCACCTGTGGGAAGGAAAGTTGACACCACTGGTCTTCAACTAATGGCTCAAGACTTACCACTGGGCTATAATTGGACCTCAAACAGACTGTATGAACAGTACTACTTGTGTCACAATATAACATGAAAAAACAGGGTCTCCAAAGGAATGTTTGGTCTAAAGCAGGTCCCAGGCCTTACAGACTGACATGGTTCTTAAGGTCTATGGCAGAGTCTTTTCTCCCCTTTGCTTAGAGATCTGGACCTCGAAACTTGTGGGCACAAAATACAGGCATATCCTGGAGCAACCAATGGTCTAGGAGTACATAACTGTTTTATATTACAAAAAATGTGAGGGTACATAGGGAAGCAAATCATAAAAGTACAGTTATAATATGCCAGTGCAAGGGTATAAACCCAGGAGAAATCCAAAAGCACAGCTTTCATCCAACTGAAAACTGTGAGGCAGGAATCGTGGAAAAAATGTACCTTGTTTTGATTCCCTTCTCCAGTCTCGGCACTTCAAATGCAACTATTTTGTGGTATGAGCCATGCGGCAAGGTTCTGAATCTCCATAAAACACCCACAGACTTAACGGGTCAAGGAACAATAATGGTAACAATGAACTGGCTTTGTCCAAAATCTCCACTCCAGCTGTCTGAAGCTACACTGTTCTACCCTGGCGAAAAAGCCCTTCCTTGTACTGCTAACTCCTTCTGAAAAAGTACCAGCACTTAGAAAATTGCTTTTAATTTGTCCCTGCTACTCTTTAAAATTGAATAATTTACTGAAGTTACCTATTACAATGTATTTTTAAAAGTAGCTCAATGTGTTGTTCATTGCTTTGTTACCCTGTGTTGTTTCCTTCTTCAAATGTTTAAAAAATTAGCTAGACAACAGTGCTGGTTCTGCAAATAAAGTAACTATGTTTGTATTTGTTACATTTATTTTGGAATGTGATTTCAATATTCACAAGGGGCGGGGAAGGTAACAAGTAACACGTCTTGCATCATTTCTGTCAGTGCTTCCTTCTGGGAAGGAGAGACACTGCCCTTAGTTATCACTGGCAGAAATCTAACCATGAGGTGGAGTGACAATCTCCTGCGAGTAAAATAATGCTTTAAAATTAAGCCGGTTTCTAATGCAGAGGGATTTGTGTGTTCTCCCACAAACACTTTCCCATCCAAACTGATTACAACTGGACAGAGCTGTACCTAGGCTCTCTGACCCACCAAAATCACAGTAGGGAAATTAGAATGGGGAAAAGAAGCTTGAGGGGTTGAGGAATGGAAGAGAAGATGATGTGGTATTTGAGGGCAAAAAAAGGGAACTGATGAGGAAAAGGTGTGAAAGATGATAAAAGAAGATACTGGCATGGGCAGAAATGAAAAAGAAGGTAAGGTGGATTGAAGATGAAAATAAGGAATGCAGTGTTTTTGCCTATCTGAACAACCTTTAAAGTAAACCATCAATGAATGTCCAAAAAGCCCACACCATTCTCCCTTAGCAAAAGATCCCACTAGACTGTACTTAATGGCTGAAATCTAGTAGTAAATTACAACTAGAGAAGGCCTACTGAATCAGTGGAATTTACAAAGGTGTTGGTTCACCAAATCTCCACTGATTCAATGAGCTTGCTTTAACTGAAACTTCCTACTGGACTTCAATCAATGAAAACCAAGTTCCAAATTCTGAAACTGAATCTCAAAGATGGTACCATACACGGAGAAGGCTTTGCCCTGAACCTGGAAAACTTCATTTTTGCAACTACAACTTTTAGACTCCCTCAATGAACAATAGCTATGCTGGCTGGAAGATCCTGGGAACTACATTCTTCCCCCTTCAAAATCTTTTTAAGGTCTGCTCAAATACTTCACATGTCATAAGTCTACTTTTTAATAATAACTGTGTGCTGTCCTCTTTTTAAGGTCTGCTCAAATACTTCACACGTCATACTTTTTAATAATAACTGTGTGCTGTCAAGCCAATTCTGACTTACACCAATCCTTTTCAGGGTTTTCTAGGTAGAGAGTACTCAGAAGTGGTTTACCATTCCCTTCTGGGGGTAGCCTGGGACTATGAAGCTTGCCCAAGGCCACACAAGCTGGCTCTTCTCTCTGGAGGCACAGTGGGGGAACTGAATTTCCAACCTCTGGCTCCACAGCCAGATACCTAACTCACTCACTGAGCTATCTAACCAGCTAGGCTACTTCTTACTGGTCCTCAATGTAGTTTTGTTTAAAAAATATGTTTATTGCTAGTCTGTTGCACTGCATGCTGTTGTTTTTTTAAAACATAACCATTCAAAGACTTGAGGAGGGGATGGAAAATGTTAGTACCTGTAGAAAGAAAAGCTTACCATATGCAGAACATCACTGCTCATCTTCACCAAAAAGCCCTGGAACAGGTCCTCAAAAATATGTAGGATTTTTGTCAGGTAGCCATGTTTGGCTGCTCTGGCCTGCAGGCGTTTGGCAGTACGTGATGTCTGTGATTTCAGGGTTTCCTCTTTGAGCACAACAATGTAATGTCCAGGCAAGCGCCAGGCATCCTATGGGTTTAAGCAGAAACAGTATGGGCAGGAGCACCGATTGAGCTCTATAGCAATGCATGAATGACTCCCTGACATGATTCTTTCCACTGAGTAAGATTCTGGTAGCTTTACAGCTATGACCTAGGCGCAACTAGGCTCTGAACCGTATGCAGGGCCAACAGGATAGTGGAGCCAAAAATCACACTGCCAGGACTTTCAGATCAACAGGAACAACTGCTGCCCCCTCAGCCCTGCCTCTTTCCTCTGAGTTTAGCTGCAATCCGTGCACACACGCACATGCAGACACACACACACACACACCAGCAGTTGGGGTTGGGATGGGTTCTCTCAGCAACCTCAGGTTGACGTGACCTACCTCTGCTACAATGCACCAATGAACTGAGGTGCTTAATCTTTTCCACACATTTTCCCATTTGAAATATTTCTTGCTGCCCCCTTCTCCACTTGCAGCAGCTTTCTCACTGGCAGGATCTAGACAGGATTCGTGGTCACATAGATACACACCTGCTCAATGCCCTGCTTGTTGTTATCATAATCTGAATGGGACTTTCTAACAGATTGCTTCCAATTGTGCCACTTACCCTCCAAGAGGCAGCTAGATTGTCGTTCTGTTTATCTAAGAAAAGTCAGTGACGCAAAAGCGAGAAAGAGAAGCCAGAAAGACTGAGACACAAATCGTGCTGAATGTGTTTTGGTCTTCCCGTTCTGCTTTCCACAACTAGGGATCGCTCCTCTAGATGTGGGAGATTTCAATTCTTGTCATCTTCAGCCATTGGCTTCTCTTCAGAGTATCCCATCATACTTTTCTCACACTAATCTCATCCGCTTTGGCCCCAAATCTTTTCTAGTAATCTCCGCTTGGACAGGCATATTCAGAAGACATCACTTTACACTATATATATTTTAAAAACATGTCTCTATTTTGTTTTCAGGATATATATATATATATATCCAAAACAAAATAGAGACACCTCCTCCTTTCTGAGGAATCTGCACAAAGATCTAGAAATCCTGACACTGCCCACTTATGTCAGCGACTCACTGAATGCATTGGCCATATGGCCTAATGGACGCTGCGCACACACGGGATCCAGCCTTGTATTGCACCTTTGGATGCACGGGAAGCATACTTAGAAAAAGACAGTGGAGTTTTGTTTCAATGTAGGACCGGCAGGTCAGCTATGTAAAAGACATGCCAGTCCTACACTCATTCTTTCTAAGGGCACGTGGACTTGTGGACATGGGATGCCCACTATAAATGCTTCCAGTCAGCATGAAAGCACAGGCATGCCCTGATGAGAATGCACCAAAAAAAATAAAAAGGAATGTAAAATGCCTTGGTGTATCAACTCTGCACTCCTAACCCTCCTCCATGCTTCCCGGATGTCAAGTCCTTAGCCCTCTGCAGAAAACAAAACAAGCCGTTTCTCAATGAAAGGCTCCAGCAGAATAATCTCCACACAGAATTCAGGAGCACTATCTTTTTTTCCCTCTCCCTTTCAACAGAGAAGTGAAGTAAACGCAAAATGCTACAGGTGTAGACTTGAAGTCTTCACATCTTTTGCATGACTAATTTCTTTCCAAATTTCCGAAGCTGAATGTTTTAAAAATCTAGACGATTACTGTTCCACAGAGCAGAATAATAAGACTTAATACAGCAGGCACAAGAAATTCAGATGGAGGGGAAGGTGTGAGATCTGGCACCAGAGTGGCTATTCCCAGTGCAACGAGAAGACTCTGAAATATCAATCAACACTTACACAACCGGAAAACTCTTCAGAATTAGCTTCTCAAGACATTTTGCAGCCTGAGTGGAAGTACAAAATGTCCATGCCCTATAGAGAAGTAACTGCTGGTTAAATTTTATTTCACCCTCAGTGAGAAGATCATGCCCCTCCCCCACTAAGGCTGAGGGCAAGAATGTGATTTAAGGGGGTGGGGGAGAGCTGTGCAGTACACACAGATGTGCCCTCCCAAAGGGGCCTCGGAGGGAAAGACGAGAAGGGGGAAGGGGGATGCCACTGGTAGAAACCCCCCACCCCACCCCACCCCACCACCATCTGCTAAGGCAGTTGCTTCTCGGGGAGGGGGGAGTGTCTCCAGAAGGCAGCAGAAATCCCAAGGCATGGGACATCGCTGCCCTCAAGAGAGGAAAGCATTGTCCAAATAACAGAGGGAAGGGTGCTGTGCCCACACAGCGAGAAGGCTTCAGGGCTTCAGTGGTGACAGGAAAGGCCCCTCCCCTGAGACGGTGTGGTATGCCAGGGAGCGCTGCCTTGGAACAAGCCAAGCCAACTGCAAGGAAGAGAGTGCCCTCAGGCATGTGCAGAGAGAGGGAGAGAGATTATCTGCTTCACGAGTCAGCAAAGGCAGCAACCATTTCACACTTGAACTCCCAACTTATTCGCTAATGCCAAGGCAGAGGGCCAGAGTGAGCCTGGCGCCTCTCCCTCAGGAAGGCGGCTTCCTACACACAAGGACTGGGCCACCCGGCCACCCACAAAGGCCAGTCGAATGATGGACGGGGGGTCTTTTGTTCTGTTTTCTCGGGGACCCAGCCGCCCACAGGGTCGGCCTCTCTCGTCAGGCGTCCCAGTGCACGGGTTTTGTAAATATTATTAGGCTTCCAAAGCACCGGGGTTCTCTTGTTTTGGGGTCTCCATACATTCCCGGCGGCTTAAGTTCCCAGGGCAGCCGAAGGTCACGGGATCCCTTGCCTCGGTTTCAGGGCCGGCGAAGCTGCAGCGGTTCCTCACCCCACCTGCCTGGCAGGAGCTCCTCGACCGCTAAATCAACCCCCGGGCAGCGTGAAAAGCCACTCCTTTCCTAGACCCAGGTCAAGTTCACACATGCCCCGTTAATAGACCCTTGTCCAGCAGGCCGAGGCAAAGAGGCAGTCACGAAAGCAACAAAATCAGGGAGCTGGACAGGGGGACAGACTGCCAACGTCTTCAGTGTGGAAAGGATTGTCCCTCTCGAATTGACCTTCTCAGCCACACTAGACGCTGTTCCAAGTCCTCCATTCAGAGCACGTTACCATATTCTCTCGAGACTGAAGGATGCCTAACTAACCTCGCCTCGCTAGCCAACCAGCAGTATCCGCACAGCGAAGGAAGAAAAGCTAAAAGCGCCTAAATCGTCCCGATTTGCACCCCCACCCCCACCCGCCTCCCCGACGCCCACGGCTAGGGGGTCCCTCCTATCTGCTCCCCACTCGCCCTTCCTCCGCTGGTCACCTTATTGCTCCGATAGAAAGCGGCAGGTCCGCTTCGGTATCTCGCCAGATCCGTCTGGTTCTCCTCCTCGAAGGAGAAGGGGAGGATCGGGTCGTCGTCGTCGTCTGGCTCATAGGAATCGCTGGCGACCGGCGGGAGCCAGGCGAGCGCGCCGAGGAGAAGGGCGAGCAGCAGCAGCGGCAAAGCGGGCGAGCAGCGGCAGCTTCGCATCGCCTCGCCGAGAGAAACCCGCCTCGAGTGAAACGCCGGGAAGATCTGCCGGTTCGAGAGCAGCGAGGAAGGGGCGCCGGGAGGCACCGCACACCCCCGCCGGCCTTAGCAAGTCCCGGATTTAGCAAAGCCCCGCGGAGGGCGAGCGCCGCAGCCTTGAACCCGGCGCAGTCGCCTGCAGCGCGACCCAAGCCTAGAACCCGTCGGGGCGACTTTCCCCTCTTGGGCGAGCGCGCAATGTCGGAGCGGACCGAAGGAGAAAGGCGCGTTCGAGCTGGCGCCACAGTTGTTGAGGATTAGCGAATGGGGAATCGTACATCCCAGCGCTGGGAGAGTGTGTGTGTGTGTGTGTGTGTGACGGGAGAGCGGGCGCGCGGAGGCACATTCGCACACACAACACCCCACACACACACACACACGCAGCTTCCCCTTTCCCTCCGCCCCCTTCTTTACATGTCCATGTGCTCTTCTAAATTTATAGGGCGTGGATGTTGCCAGATCACGCCACTATTATCCCATCGGACCATCCTATCTTGTTAAACATTAATTGGAGTTTTTCCCATTCTTGGAGAACAAGTTTCTGCCCCTTTTGGCTTGCCTGGCGTCATATTACACGGGCAATTTTTGCTTCTGGGGAGGGCTTTCCCCTCCCTAGCCCAGGCCAGGGAGATGCCTATACAAGAGGTCTGAGCATGATTGGAGGACTGGGCCTCAAGGCGCTCGGGTGGGGTGAGGGCTGGCGAGAGCAGATGCATGGAAGGAATTCCAGAGGAAAGGCACGCTTGTAATATACACCTCATGTTTTTTGGGGGGCGGGGTGTGTTGGAAAGCTTTGGGAGAGACAGAAAGTCCAAATATATTTCCTTTCTGCGGAGTAGGTCTGAGGATAGTGTTAGTTCTAGCCTAGGTATTTAGCAAATATTTGACACTTCGACTGAGCAGCCCCCAGCTTTTTGCTGCCTGAGGCAAGGCTAAGCAGGATGCGTCTTCCCTCTTTGTTCCATCTACAGACGCTCACTAGACTACCAGTGAACTCTTACTTGGATACTGGTGTTGGATTCCACAGCAGTAGAAGGGATCAGGACAGGCTGCATGGCCCAGAGGGAAGCCACACACCTTTTAAGAAGAACCACCCAGACATTGTCACCATTCCTGCCTTGGGGTTTTGACTCACCCTGCCCAATGGTGGGATCAGCCCTGCACTGAGAAAGCCATTTATCTACTGTGGCACCGAATTTGGAAGATTTTCTGTTTGGACTTCCAGGCAACATGGGAGATGCTGAGAGCTGAAGCCCAAAGAGGTACAGTGGACCCTCTACTTACGGAATTAATCCGTATTGGAACGGTGGCTGCAGGTCGAAAAGTCTGTAGGTCGAGTCTCCATTAACCTACAATGCATTGAAAACCGATTAATCCGTAACTGGCTGTTTTTGTTCCATTTTGTTTTTGTTTTTCTGGTCTGTAGGTCGATTCTCCGGCTGCAAGTCGAACCTAAATTTTGCGGCCAGAGAAGTCTGTAACTCAAAAAGTCTGTAAGTCGGGCCGTCTGTAAGTCGAGGGTCCACTGTAACTTTTCCGGACTCTACTTGGGCAGGCATTTGGACTTCCAGGCAACATGGGAGATGCTTAGAGCTGAAGCCCAAAGAGGTAACTTTTCCGGACTCTACTTGGGCAGGCAGTGAGAAGTGACTCAGTCATGCTAGCCATAGTCCTTTTAGCTGGAAATTAAACCTAAAACGCGATGTTCTACAAAACCAGTCTTCTGTTACTACACAACTCTGGGTCTATTCTGTACTTCTTCACATGCTTTTTTTTTTTTATTTAACCATAGAATTTGCCCTCATTACATCATATGGTGATAGCTTTAAAGGGGAATGAAATAAGTTGATGAAAGATAAGCCCATCTGTGCTTGCTGTTAATGAGGATATAGTATCAACACAATCATACTGTCCAGATCAAGGGAACTAATACTACTCTTCTACAGTATTCTGCTGTGGTTAGATTTCACTGGGTTCGGTTCTGGGCACCATGGTTTAAGAAGGTCTTCTTGAGAGTAAGAGTAATTTGACAGCGGAATGGTCTGTCTCAGAGGGTGGTGGAGTCGCCTTCATTGGAGATTTTATCATCTGGCATGGATGCACTGATTTCTTCCTTCCGTGGGGAGTTGGACTCAGCGACTGTTGGGAATCCCCTCCAGCTCTGCCATGATTATATTATGGTTCTGTGCTACTTCAAAAGTCAGAGGCAACTTGCCTCCAGATCAACTGACACAGAAGTGAGGGGGGTGCAATGGACCTCATGTCCTGCTTGTGAGCCTCCCATAGGCATCCAGTTGACCACTGTGGGGAGCCAAGCTTGTTGCGTGGCATTCACTATCTGTGTCCACTTCTTGGGTAATTCCCCCCATTAGATCTTCAAAAGCATCACCTGAAGATCCCCCAGGAAGCCATTCACATCTGTTATCCTTATGAGACAAGCTACTGCGGTAATCATAGGGACACTGGAAAACCAAGATAATTTTCTAGCATGAGATCACCCCGGCTAGCTCTGAAGAGGAGAGTGATGGGCAGAAGGAGGGACAGTACAACAGAATTCCCCCCTTTTGCCCCTAACAGAATTGGCAACATAGATGGAAAATTGACAACATTGATGGTGTTTGTATTTTTCATCGGAAGTTGTAGCATATAGAGAGTGCAAGTTTAAGTGTTTGTGTTATTGTTTTCATGTGTGTCTTTTTAAAACTGGTTCCCATCTAAAGAACTGTAGTTCTTAAAAATCAGGTTGTAAATCCTCAAATGACAAAAGACATATCACAGGAGCTTTGTTATTCCATTCACCATGATTCTGTAACCTGGTTCACACACCACAAATTTCTTTCCACTTCATTGCAGTTAATTAGAGGTTGGCTCAGGCTTGTGTGTCTTTCAAATGGTGGTGAGTACAACATCAAATTATGCCTTACCTTTGAGAATATGTTGTGTCAAATATAATACCACAGACAAAACCTCCTCACTGTTCCAAAGGTTATCTGTAACAACACGCTGTTCAATGGAACCACTTCAATTTCAAGTCATCTCATGCACTTTAATTATCAAGGCAATTTGACAAGCACTTATGCACCAGACTATGTTGTGGATGTGGAAAAATATAGCTGTGTAGGGACAAATTGTTGCTTTGAGGCCTTGCCACTTTGTGAAGTAAACAAGCATTGTGCTGTGGTGACAGAAGGTGAAATGAGCATTTAGTTTGAGTTAGTATATCTGAGAGAGCCCATCCACACAGAGGTGGTGGTGGGAGGGTGGTCATCCCCTGACTCAGTAATAAAGACGTCTCGGTGAAGTAGCTTTTTCCCACAAGAGTAGACCAGATAGTGTGATGGATAAAAATGGGAAGAGCACAGTTATGTTCTTGATTCAGAAGTGGGTCCTGCTGGCCAGAGTTTTGTTGACAAAAGAAAAAAAAAGGGGACACAACAGCAATTTCTTTGGGTGGTTTGTAGCCTTTGGAAAGTGAGTGTTGTATAACTGATTTCACAGTCATTGTGCAACCAGTCACACACCCCACCAGAGCTGTTGCTGTTGCATGTGCCGCTTTTTCTCAACAGGATTCTTTCTGGTCAATGAGTTCAGTGAGACTTGCTTTCCGCAAATGTGTATAAGATGGCAAACACAGACAAGGAGCACTATTGCTACACATTGGAAGAAAACCTCCATCAGAACACCCAAAGAATTCAGATACAGGCCAATAACTTTGTAGAAAAAAACTGGCTTGGAGGTTTGTAAGACCTTTGTACTGTACAAGCTGTTAACACCACAGCCCTTAAAGGACTGATGATCCCCCTCCCCTTTCCTTTTAGAAATTACCCAGTGACTCTGTGCTACAAGGAGAAGGGCATTTGGGGCTAATCTTTATTTCTGGGGGATACTGCAGAAAAGAATTCCCCATCAATGTGGCCATGCTGCCTGGAGACTCTAGAAGTCGGAAAGTGAAACTTTTCCACATTCTTGGGGAATTGGGCTGGTACACAGCAATAAACTCTTCCTATAATATAAATATATAATATAAACTCTTCCGTTTGCATTTGTCTGCTGTGCTGCTGGTGCCACTTTTGACACCGTCTGTGGTGAGGGTTAACTAGCACTAGAGCTTTTTCGCTCTTCTTCCTTTTCCCTTCTGCTTCATGCCTGTTGTTTGCCCACACCCACATTGGGTTTCCTTGGTCTCCCAACTCCCTGCCTTGCTGATACCTCTTGACACCTCTCTCTGTATTGTCTCTGCTGACTCCTTCCTTTAAAAAAAAAAAATAGGAAAGTGCCATAATACAAAATTTCCCTCTCCTCATAGCATACAGTCACTGGGTCATTTCTAAAAGGAAGCCTTTTTAGTATAGGGCAAGCTTCAGACTAACAAGAGAAGCATGACAACATGGAAGCCAAAAAGAAACAAACAAAAAAACAAAATCAAGGGGTAAAGGAAAGAGACGTAAGTTGGGAAAAGCTGCCTAAAAGCTCACTTCCAGCAGTTCTCATTTATACAGGTGTAAGGACTGACACCATGTGAATGGCAGGAATGACTCAGCGAGTTCAGGAACCAATCAGGTACAAATTGTGGAAGAAATCCTCGATCAGGATGAGCCCCAAGTTCTTTATATGCTCAAGGAAGGTGGGTCTTAGGGGAACTGTTCTTAAAGTAAGAGCAATTAAGCAATGGAATTACTGTAGCTACCTACAGAGATTGTAGGCTCTGGCCATTAGAGGTGTTAAAAAAATAGGCTGATCAGCCATCTGTTGAGGATACTCTAGTTCTGGATTTCCTGCATCAAAGCAGAATGTTGGACCAGATGGCTTGCAAGACCACAAACCAGCTTTAATGCTATTATCCAACTCGATGACCATATACTATAAATGGTTAGGGCTCAGACAGCCCGTGTCCAGGAAGACACGTGATCCTACATGAGGAAGAATGATAAAGAACAATAATATTTTTTCTTATGTTTTTACATTCCAACCACAGGGGGTGGGGGAATAATGTCATCATGAAACTTTGGGCAAGAATTTCTGTGTGCTGCAGAAGGTTGGCAGGAAAAACAAGTAAAGGAAGGAATGAAGTTGAAGGCTTCAGTTGCAAAGTCTGTGCCACAAGCTTGCTTTTGTGCTTGGTACTTGTTCCTGTTCTGCCATTTTAAGCAGGGCCTCCATTAAAAACAAACAAAAGTAAAAATCAGATATGAACATAACTGATAGCAAATAACTGTTTGATGTTTCTGCACACGGTGAGAACATGGAAATAAATTATGCTGGGTGGCTGAGAGGCAGCATGTGACATTTCTTGTTAATGTGCAGTCAGAAGCCACAGGAAGAGAGAGTCAGAGTCAGTCAGTGTCAGTGTTCACACAGGGTGCATCCTGTTCAAAGCAAC